AAACCGATTTTAAATTACAATCGAAAGTCGAGTAATATCGATTCATAGACGGACAGCACCTTAATACTTTCCTGCTGGGCTCAATTGAAACCTGTAAACTAATAATTCACAATCGTATTTTCTTTTTTTCTTCAGGAAGAGATATTCTTCATTTCTTACTCGTTTTCACCGAGAATCTTTAAACCCGGGGGAATCAAACACGAGAAGGTCTTTTCGTCACTTTCACTCACAGGAAAGACTGTGCCAAGGGGCATAGTAAATCAGCACCCATAGAACAGCCGTTGTGTACAGAAGACATGGAACAGACGTTGGATTCAGGCAAGACTCCCATTGCAGTTGTCGGCATTGGTGAGTGAGCTGTCAAACATACTACAAGTACTTTCATCAAAACAAGGAAGAATGCAAATCTAGATTTGGCGCTTCTAGCGTAAAAGCAGCGTAACGCGGGGTTTGATATGCACCGTACCATCCATATCAATGCAAATGAATTCAGGCAGGATCTGATTAACGTTCCTTGGCATAACTTAGATTCTATCACTGACCCCAATGAACGTCTCTTTCTCTGGAGCGAGATGCATGGTTATGTTGTTATTAAGCATGCTCCTTTTATGTCGAAACTAGTTAAGTTTCTCCAACAACCACCATGGTGGAGTGACGTTATTCAATCAACAATGCGTACGAGAGACAAACCCTCAAACAGCGTCTCAGCCGAACCCCTGATGATACGCTGTTACCTGCTTACAAGAAAGCAAGAAACAAAGTGAACTATTTAATCAGGGCTGCAAAACAGAAATTCTGCAGGTAAACTTTTCATGATGTCAACAATTCCAAAGCAATACGGGACATAGTCAAGTCGGCCAAGAACACAACTTCATCCGTGTGGCCCAAACTAAATAAAAATGTCTACCAGCACTACCTCATCTGATAGCCTGGATGTTAACAACATTGCAAATGACTTTAAAGCCATTTTGCCAGAGTCGGAGAAAATTTTACTAAAATTGCATTACTGTGTCGATGGCAGGAAGCAGGAGAGCGATCAGATTTTAGGATACTGCTGATGAATGATAAATTTGTTTTTAACCAACTTCTGAAAATGTCCAACTCCAAATCTACTGGTTCAGATGGTATTTGTATTAAACTACAAGTGATAGAGATGTAGAAGCAATCAATACTAGTTTGTCAAGCCAAATGCATCCCATTTCTGAATGGATAAATGATAATCGGTTGGTTCTTAAAATAAACAAAACTGAAAGTATGTTGATTCGATCTCGTAAAAAGATTTCCTGTGCATTTGATCGGTTTTCTGTTGTGTGAAATCACACAAGCTTCCTGGTGTTCATTTTGATAGCTGCCTTTCATGGGAAACTCATGTTGAATACACGTTTGTGTGTTCTAAGCTTACAGGGCGTCTTCACATATTAAATAAAATCAAATACCTCCTTCCCTTGAAAGCTAGAAAGGATTATTATACAGGACTAGTGCAACCACTTATTGACTATGGATGTACTGTCTGGGGCAACTGTAGGAAAGAATTAATACTTAAAATCCATGCATGTAATGATGAAACGATATGCCTGAAGTATACTAGATATTAGGGATGTCAGGCAAAGCTGTACAGTCCAACCTTTGGAAGAACTTGGCTGGTTACCTATTGGCATTCGAATTGAGTATTTTGAGACTCTGCAAATGTTCAATATTGTCCATGGTACTGTTCCTTTATATTTGAAGGACTTGTTTACTCTGGTCAAGAGGGTTCATACTAATCACACAAGAAACAATCAGGCTAACACTTTTTACACACCAAGATATATGTCAGCCATGGGTCAGAGATCATTCAGCTACAGGGGTGCTACAATTTGGAACAAGCTGGGTGGGGAGTTTAAGGCCATTACGAATGTCGAAACATTTAAGCAGATGCTACTCAAGTGGCTACAACAAAATCTATACATTTGTGATTCTTTCGCCATGACCGTAATTTCTAGACGAATACACCTGTTCAGATGTACATGAACTTTTATCTTGAATACCTTCCTTTCGTTGGTTTCCTCCATATGCAGCAAGGTATGAGACGGAGAACCCTCCCCCTTGCTTTGTGTTGGTCATTGTCTCGCAGGAATCTGGGGAATTCCTTTCAGACATCTTGGGGGGATGTGTTAAGTAACGATAGTCTGGAATGTGTATAGGGATTGGACATGTTGGGGGGGGACCCCTCGCTCTCATTTCTTGCTGGGTATATTTTCCTCGAGTGTTGACAGCAGAGTTTGTTAGAGCTGGGGGGGTCTACATTCCCTTGTTGCTTTAATCACCATTAATTCTATTTGTTTTTAATTAGGTGGTCCTTGTATATTACATTTGTGATACATGTTATGATGTTTTCAATAGCACACGTGTGTTTTTATATTGATTTTCTTAATTATGCATGTTTATTGGAATATTTTTATAAGTTAATGTGCTGTGTGTTTTAATATGACCTTATTTAGTTGCACTTTTTTTATCATTTTAATATTGTTAGATGTACTTCCGGTACAGGTAAATTTCAATGTGTGATATATTTAGAATATGCAGACACAATCAATTTAAAAAACGAAATGTTTATTCACATAGAGTCATTGTTGATAGCATAAAAACGTGATTCACACTTTCGTTTACAATATTTATTAAACTATTGTGAATTTTCAAATCCAATCCAAGTACAACGACACATCTAGATTCCCCAAGTTTCCACAAAATATCCGAATGTCCAAAATTCACCATTCCGGTAAAATTTCACAAAATGCTTTTTACCGCGCTCAAATATCGGGAAATTTCTAAGCGAATACACTGCAGCCAAAATTGTCAAAAGTTAGAAGTGAAATATTGAGGAAATATTTCATTTCCTAAAACCTATTTGGATTATTTGAGCCTAAAATTAAAAACGTTTATTCACTTGTTCTTACACTGCAGGATGTCGCATGCCTGGAGGTGTCAACTCTCCCAAAGAATTCTGGGATGTCTTGGTTCGGGGTGACGACATGATCAGCGAGGTTCCTCCGGACAGATGGTCTTTAGAAACATTCCATGATCCTGATCAATCCAACCATAGTAAGATGGTGACAAGACGATGTGGCTTCATCCATGACATCGACAAGTTTGACAACACTTTCTTCAAGCTTTCACCCCGAGAGGCAAGCTCCATGGACCCCCAGCAGCGCCACATCCTCGAGGTCACCTATGAGGCGTTTCAAGATGCAGGAATCGTCCCAAACACCTTAGGAGATTCCTGCGGTGTCTACATCGGTGTTGGCATGATGGATTATACCATTATGCTAATGGACACGTCACTCATCAATCCCTACACTCATACAGGTGTGGCACATTCTGCAGTTGCCAACCGAATCTCATACGCCTTCGATCTCCGTGGACCCTCTTACGCAGTTGATACTGCCTGTGCGTCATCCATGACAGCAATGCACAGTGCCTGCAATGCTATCTGGAACGGCGAGTGCACTGTTGCTGTTGCAGGAGGATGCAATAATCTCCTCATCCCTGAGGGCACCGTTGGTTTCAGCGCTTTGGGCGTCTTATCCCCTGAGGGAAAGTGCTGTCCATTCTCTGATACTGCTAAGGGCTATGTAAGAAGTGAAGGATGGGGTGTCTTCATCCTCAAGCCACTTGACTTGGCACAAGCCGACAACGACCATATCTACTCTGTCATCCGAGGGAGCGCTATTGCGGCGAATGGTTTCAGTAAGAGTCTAACGATGCCCTCAGCACCTGCTCAGGAAATGGTAATGAAGAATGCCTATAAAAAGTCTGGCGTTCCAATGTCCTCAGTGCAGTATGTAGAGGCACATGGTACCGGAACTCCAGTTGGCGATCCCATTGAAGCAAGTGCCATAGGCTCCACTTTCGGTCACCTGAAAGACGCTGCACTCAAGATAGGATCTGTGAAGAGCAACTTTGGACACAACGAGTGTGCTGCCGGGATCACAGCTGCCATTAAAGTGGCTCTCATGTTAGAGAGGAGCATGCTGGTGCCTACTATCAACTTCAGCAATGTCAACTCCAACATTGATCTCCAGGAACTCAACCTCCACGTCCAGACAAAAGTCGAGGCAATAAGACACAACCAAGATAATGAATACACCATTGGCCTCAATAGCTTTGGTTTCGCCGGAGCAGTTGCTCATATGATCTTCCAAAATGCGCCACAGTCAAAAAAAATGTCCAAGAACGTGGAATCTGCAGGCTGGAAGTTCGGTGATGAAAGAGTTGGTAGACCAGTCATCTTGCCACTTTCTGCAAAATCAGGAGAAGCTCTCAAGGATCTTGCTAAGAAGTGGGTGGATTTTGAATCTGACAACGATGCCCTCAGCGTGACATCATGGCAGGCAACTCGCAGAGAACATCATACCTACCGGATGGCTGTCATTGCTGACTCCACTGCCTCTTGCAGACACAGCCTGAAGGGATTTCTTGAAGATGCTGGATCAGAGTCTGTAGTAACAGGAACAGCTCCTCAAGAAAAACCACGAGTCTGCTTTGTTTTCCCCGGCCAAGGGCAGCAGTGGGAGGACATGGGCCGCAAACTCTACAGAGCCGAGAGCGTCTTCCGGGACACTGTCAACACTTGTGACAAAATCTTCAAGAAGATGTCTGGGTGGTCTCTACTGGAATGTTGTGGATTGTTCAACAGCCATTCTATTAATCTCGACACTTCACCATACACGTCGGTAGAGAACGCCCTCAATCAAGTCGAAGTCATCCAACCTGCCATCATGTTCGTTCAGGTGGCACTCCTCCATCTCTGGCGACATTGGGGAGTGCGACCTGATGTTGTGGTAGGGCACAGCCTCGGCGAGATCTCCGCAGCTTACGCCAGTGGTGGACTGACCCTTGAGGAAGCTGTAGCCGTTATCTATCACAGAAGTCACGAGCAAGCCAAGCAAGAGGGCACTGGTAGAATGGCAGCCCTACGGGCCACAAGGGAACAAGCAGAGAAGATCTGTCAGGAACACCAAAATCTCTACATAGCAGCAGTCAATGCACCTTGTGCAATTACTCTCGCTGGCAACCGAGATGTCATAGCTAGTGTAGTTGAACAAAATCCTGGAAAGGCTAAGCAGCTCCGAGTAACTTGCGCTTTTCATACTCCAGAGATGGATCCAATCAAAGAGCCATTCACTAAGGCCATGGAGGGTGTTGTTAAGAGTGAGCCTGGCAAGAGAGGTGTACCTTATTACTCAACTGTGACAGGTGAATACTATGATGGAAGTTTTGGCACTGAATACTGGTGGAGCAACATCCGAGGTACCGTACTCTTCCAGCCTGCTATTGAAGCTGTTTTGCAGGAGACGAAAGCCGATGTTTTCCTCGAGATTGCTGCCTCAAACACACTGCTGTCTTCTGTGAAACAGATCGCACGTGGTTTGGATCCCAAGCACCCTCCTGTTACTATCAACTCCAGCCTGCGGGGCAAAGACGATCTGAAAAGTATCCAGAGAGCAGTGGGAACCCTGTATGCAAATGGGACTGAATTAGACTGGGCCGCAGTAACTCATGAATCGGCTGAGTGGACGCCGGTACCTACATATCCATGGCAACACCAGTCTTTTTGGTTGGAGACAGAGGAGAGACAGAAGCGTCGCCTTGGTTTCGATGATCGTACTTTCAAAGGGCAAAACGGTAACCTAACACTGGAGATGTTCCCCTTCTTGGCTGATCACGTGATAGGCAACCGCATTGTCTTCCCTGGTGCCGGTTATATTGAGTACATGGCACAGATGGCTTTCGATGAAAACGAAAAACCGGCTTTTAAGAACATCAATTTCACCCGTGTCCTGCCATGGCCTGAAGACTCAGACTCCAAAAAGGGAAACCTTAAGCTACGGATTGCAAAAGATGGAACAAGGATGCAAGTTACCTGTGAAAGCAATCTGCACAGCAACGCTCTGATAGACGTCTCCAGCAAAGCAGATGATGAAGAGTGTCTTCCTCTTGAGAAGATAACAGAACGGTGCTCAACTGAGGTAACAAGTGAGGACTTTTACGCCAGGCTCCAAGACGTGGGTCTTTCCTATGGGCCTGCCTTCCAGATGGTGAATAAGATGTTTCTTGGTGATGGTGAGGCACTTGCTGTACTGCATGCTGTCCCTGACAATAAGCAAAGAATCCAAGTGGCTCATCTGGACGCAACTTTCCAACTCGCTTTGTCTGCCGTGGGCCCCAACAGCACCATGTACCTCCCTGTTCACATCGACTCCCTTGAGATGTCCAGAGTGGCGGTTCCATCTGGAGACCCCATTATAGTCTACACCAGAATCATCGACTGTGACAGTATGATCCTCACAGCTGACATTACCATGGCTACTGACCAAGGTAAAATCCTGGCAACTTTGAAGGGGTTCCAAGGACAAAACTTCAATGGCAACCAATCCGATGTTCCCATTGAGTCCTGTATCTATACTACCCACTGGCAAGCAGCCTCGACCAATACACTGTCTACAACAGTTCTCCAAGAGGTTTTTGGACAAAGCAATCTTTGTCGGGCTTATGAAGGTGAGATGGATGCAATTGGACGAGCAGAAGAAGTTCTTGATGATGTTGAGGGCGTGTGCGTGTCTTACATTCGAAATGCCCTTGATACAGTACCACCTGAGGAAAGGGCACAGGGTAAGAGCTACACAAAGTATATTCATCGGTTTCAGACCATTGCAAAAAACACAGAGAGCAAAATCATCAAATACGAAGAGATCCCTGAAGTCATGAAGAAGATCCTCCACCATGTACCCGAGTTAGAATCAGAGATAAATCTAACAAAGACACTTGGTGAGGCTTTACCTGACACTCTTCGTGACCCGCAGGTTGCCGTTCCCCTCATGTTTTGTCCTGAGGGGCTGGACCGTTACTTCTATGACTCACTCAGCACAAGAATCTACTATAAAGCTGGGGCTAAAGCAGTTGTCAGGGCTGTTCGAGAAGCTGCCAAGCACAAAAAGGTGGTCCGTGTCCTGGAGCTTGGGGCTCGGATTGGAGGTTTGACTCGTTTCATCGTTGATCCACTGAAGGATTTGGGAACTGAAAAGAAAATGGAGTATGTCTTCACTGATGTGAGCGCCACCTTCTTCCAGCAAGCCCAGGGGAACCTCCAGGAGTTCCCCTTCATCCAGTACAAACAGCTAGACATTGAGAAGGACATCAGAGACCAAGCGTTTGTTCCTGGTAGCTTCGATGTCGTAGTCTGTCTCGACACTCTGCACGCGGCTGTAGATGTCCAGCGAAGTACGGCTTTCATGAGTGACCTTGTCAGTGCAAATGGGCTCATGTTCATCATGGAGGGAACCAACACACACTACCTGACTGAACTGTGGTTTGGGGCTCTTGATGTATGTTGGGTATTTGATGATTTTCGCAAGGAGCGCTGCTGGATGTCTCGCCAAGCCTGGCTGGAAACCATGAAGAAAGTTGGTTTCAGAGAAATCTCATCAGCATCCTCACCAAACGAATTCTTCCATTCTGTATTTGTGGGAAGAAAGCCTTCAGTCCCAGAACAAAAAAGCAGAGAAATCATCCAACAGGACAAGTTGTTTATAGTTCGCGATGGCAACAACAGGTTCTCCTCTGAATTCCTTCCTCATTACCATGGCGAGGTTCAGATCAGCAACTTCTCTGAGGCCAAGTCTCTTGATCGTGTTTTCAGCGAGCACAATGATCCCCCAATGGAGGTGATGTATATCTACAGCAATCAGGACTCTAAGCTTCATGCTCTCTTGAAACTTTTTCAGGCAGTGGAATCATATCCGGATGTGGTCAAGCGCATGTGGGTGGTGACCAAAGGAGGGAACATGGACTTTTCCCTCCCAGATGGTTCGCTGGCTATCGGCTTGACTCGATCTGTCAGCAATCAGATTCCGGGAGTATCAATTTTCTCTGTGGATTTTGACCCTCAAAACTCTCTTGCAGAGAATGTCCAGGAGATGCTAAAGCTGATGAATGAAGCCAATCTGGGTGAAAGAGAGCTCAGTATCCGAAAGAAGGAAAGGTTTGTTCCCCGCATTGTACATGAAGATTTGAACAAGGGCGACATGATCCAGTCCACAAAATGGCGTGTAGAACAAGATGTAAGAGGCCAAGTTGCTAAAGGGACTTCCATCGATGACCTTGCCTTCCATGATGTCCATGATTTTGAAGTTCCACCAAAACATCTCAAGATTAAAGTCAAGGCAGCCCCTCTCAACTTCAAAGATATCATGATGGCACTCGGTCTTCTGGAAGGATTGGAAAGTGAGGCACGACCGTCCTTTGGCCTGGAATGTGCAGGAGTTGTGGAAGGGGTTACAGCCGGGGCACAGGGTTTCAAAGTTGGTGATGAGGTCATTGCATTTGGAAAGAGCTGTTTCGGTTCCCACGTCATTTGTGATGCAAGGTTGACTGCCTTGAAACCGGAAAATCTAAGCTTCATGGACAGCTCAAGTATCGGTGTGGTTTTTGTGACGGCATATCTTTGCTTGATCGAACGTGCCAACCTCAAGAAGGGTGAGACTGTCTTGATTCACTCAGCATGTGGGGGAGTAGGTCTAGCGGCAATTCAGATTGCTGAAATGACAGGCGCCAAGATCATCTGCACAGCGGGTACAGATGAGAAGAGGAGGTATCTGCAGAAGGAGCTTGGTATCGAGATGGTTAGCGATTCTCGATCATCCAGTTTTTATGATGATGTTGTGAAGTGGACCAACGGAAAGGGGGTGGATGTAATATTGAACTCCCTCTCTGGTAAGCTGCTTCAAATGGGTACATCCCTTCTGGCTCCTGGTGGAAGATTTTGCGAGATTGGTAAAAGGGACATCCTGCAGAGTTCCAATCTCCCCATGGGCTTCTTTCTCGAGAACAAGGTCTTTCATTCCTGCCAAGTGGATATCTTGATGAAACACCAACCAGATGTTGTTCAGAATATCATGCAGAAGGTGGTTCACCTCTTTGAAGAAGACAAGCTCAAGCCCATTCCAGTCACAGTCCATCCCATCAAGGAACTCAAGGAAGCATTCCGGATGATGTCCAAGGGCTCTCATATCGGCAAGATCGTGTTTGAAGTACCTGAAGATTTCCAGCCAAATGAACTGCAGCCCTCACTAAACCGATTCAGGCCAAACGCTACCTATATAGTCACTGGTGGATTCGGTGGCATCGGGCAAGCTCTCTCCAGATGGCTTTGTCAGAATGGTGCCAAAAATATTGTTCTCATTTCGCGAAGAGGGGCCAACAACTCAGCTGCTATGAGGACCGTGAGCTATCTTAAGCGCAACAAAGTGAACCTTCACGAGTTTTTACTGGACATATCTAGCAAAGAGAGTGTGAGAGCAATGTTGGAAAAGCTGCGCGATGACAAAAGCATTCCCCCAATTAAAGGTATCTTCCATCTAGCAGGTGTGATTGAAGAGGAAGATTTGTCCCAGATAACTTTCGATCAGATGTCCCGCATTCTGGGTGCCAAGGCAACAGGAGCCAAAATCCTCCATGAGCTGACTCAAGAGGACCAACTTGACATCTTCTTCATGCTGTCTTCGATTTCCACTACCTGGGGACATCAAGCACAGCCTGTCTACTGCGCTGCTAATGCCTACCTTGACGCCTTGGCTGAAAAGAGACACAGCGGTGGACTGCCCGCTTTGTCGGTGCAGTTAGCTCCGATAAAAGGAGCCGGATATTTGGAAGACAAGGCGGAGACAGTCAAAATTATAGCCATGAAGGGAAACTACCAGCTGTATGTTGATGAGTTCCTTACAGTGCTGGGTCAGCTCTTGCCTCGGAGGGACCTGCCATGCGTCTGTCTAGCGAATATGGTATGTCAATTATATGTTCATGTAAAGAGGCTTTTGGGGAAGACTATTTCTATCAAAGTTTACCTTAAAATCCGCCACGAGGATACAAAATTAATTTGAATATCATGCATTTAAAGAGTTCACTTTAAATGTCGACGAGAATAAAGTGATAGTGCATGTTACCTGTTTATCTATTCCACAAGGGAGCTACAAATTTAAGCAAAACAGCACTGTTCAGTAAAAACAGCCAAAGCAAAACACACACCACGATCTGTTTAGAACGCACTGAGGCATCCGCTTAAATTAGACAGCGTTGTTTACCATGATAAGGTAAATAAAGTTGCTTTGACTTGTGTCCATTTTAAAAATTTGCTTACCTTCAGGACTGGGGAACGACACAGCAATTCTGCTATAAGAACATGCTGAAATTCCACCACCTAGCAGAACATAACTCCAAGTCATCCAGTGGGGAGGACAGTTGCCTGGACGCTGCAGACCTGGAAGCCAGCGTTAAATCGAAGATGGCTGAACTGCTGTGCATGCCCGAGGAATCCATTGACGTCACTCAGCCCATGGTTAACTATGGCGTAGACTCTTTGGTTGCCTTGGAGATGGTAAACTGGGCGACAAATCACTTGGGGGTTACCATCTCTCAGCTGGACATCTTGGGTGGTATTACTACTGCTGCTCTGTTGGACAAAGCTGTAGAAACCAAATAAATCTGAAAGTAAAAGAAAGAAATTCATTCTATTCGGCAAGGAAATCAATGGTGTACACTGTTAAAGAAAAATTAAGATGGAAGTAAAGAGGCATTAGTTTAGCTAACGATGCAGTATTCAAAGAAAAACTACTCAGATGGGGTAATGATAAGGCAGAATTAAACGAAATTACTAAAATTCCGAATTGAAATGATATTGTTAAATAACTATCGCATGAATGATAACCAAAATTCAATGGCAAAACTTACAAAAAATGCAGTTCTTTATCAAAATACATGTACATTTACGGTGTTTGCACAGCTTGAACAAGGCAGAGGTAACGTCGGCATAAAATCTAGAGTTGCTATGAATTACAAAAAGCTAATACATTAGTCTCGGCCTATAAATTCTTGAAATAAAAATCTCAAAGTTAAATACTTTTTTCATTGAGAGTACATACATCTTAAGGACAGCTAAAATTATTCAATGCACTACCGTGACCCCTGTTGGCAGATATTTAAAAATCATCCCTTTGCAACAATTCACTTACGTATAGAATATAAAACTGTAAGTGATCACAGAATAATGAAAAAAAAGAAGAAAACCTGTGTGACGACTTTCTTATAAGCACGTGTAATTTGGAGAGCTGTGAAATAATTGACTACAATAACCCGGAACACTTGTTGAGAATAGGCTTAAAATATTCTGTTGCATAACGTAAGGCCTTTTCACGCTAGAAAAATCTCGGGGTTGATGCATGGTTGACGCAGGGTTGAAAACTGGCGACGATTCACACTTGAAAATTTTCAACACCGCACGAACCCTGCGTCAATCCCGAGGTTGATTTCAACCCCGGTTGCTATTGTTTATGAGCAATTTTGTGTATACTCAGGAAAAGTGTGAATCTTACAACAATTACACTCAGAGAGTTTGTTTGTCGTTGCAAGATTTATTTTCATAGGCATAGATTGAATATAAGAAATTTTAAATACAAGTGATTGATGACGGGTAAACAGGGCAATATTGCTACTTATCATGAGCAATTTTTGTTTATAGGTTACTCAAGAAAAGTGTGAATCTTATAACAATTACACTCATAGAGTTTGTTTGCCGTTGCAGGATTTATTTTCATAGGCATGGATTGGATATAAGAAATTTTAAATACAATTGATTGATGACGGGTAAACAGGGCAATATTGCTACTTATCATGAGCAATTTTTGTTTATAGGCTACTCAGGAAAAGTGTGAATCTTACAACAATTACACTCATAGAGTTTGTTTGCCGTTGCAGGATTTATTTTCATAGACATAGATTGGATATAAGAAATTTTACATACAATCGATTGGTGACGGGTAAACAGGGCAATATTGCTACTAATCATGAGCAATTTTTGTTTATAGGCTACTCAGGAAAAGTGTGAATCTTACAACAATTACACTCAGAGTTTGTTTGCCGTTGCAGGATTTATTTTCATAGACATATATTGGATATTTGAGTTTTGATGTACAATAGATTGATGACGGGTGAATGGAGCATTTTAGTTATAGTTTCAAGCCATTGCTATTAATCATGAGCATTTCTTATATATGTGACCCACTTGTAAAAATGAGTCTTAAGTCGCCAGAGTCACTTTGGAGTAAAAAGTCCTTTAGACTAATTTTGCACAGTGTAATTCAATAGGAACCCACAGCATCTGTCACCATGGAGTGTCCACTTTCATCAGGATGCCAAACTGAGTGATACATTAAAACAAAAACTCACTTTGCTCTTTCCAGTTCAAATGTAAACTCCAAAAGTGGCTCTGGCGACTTCAAACTCATTTCCACAGGGTGGGTCACATTATATACTCCGTAACAGTGTGAACCTCGGTACAATTACCATCGGGGAGAATGGCTGGAGAGTAGGCAGTTGCCGAAAGCGGTTTTGCATGAATGTCAATATTAATATTTTTGTATATGATTATGGAAAGATATTTAGCTACAGAATATGTATTTACATATTAGGTGCACCGAGACTTAATGTGGTGTGTGAATGTGAATTTCAACCGTTCTTGAGATAGCATCAATCTTAACTGAATCTGTTTTCGAATCGTGATTAAAAAAACTGCTTTACTTTCAGAAGGGCAAATGCCTTCTCAAAGTGTTCCAAATATGTCGTTTCGCAAAACATATTCAAACAGGTGTTTTCTACTTTTTAGATCCCTGCAAAACTCTTCTTAAATGGAAACACTGGATGTTAGAATTGTTTTGACATCTTAGTTTTCGAGCCATCTCTTTAACTGGTCATAACAAGTGCATATTACTTGCTAAAATGAAAGTGTGAATTGGAAGAAACTATTATAACCCGGGAGTATGGCAAGGCGGTAGGTGGTGGTGGAAAACGATTTTGGATGGAGCCGCCAATTTTATTGATTAATTTTGTACAGACTTTTTGCAAGAAATTTTTCTGCCGAGTTTTTAGGCCCTATGTACTCAGATATTCAACGCAGCAAGACGATTTCGGGTGACTGGTTTCAATGAAGTTAATAAATAATGAAATGTTTTTAGAAAATAGATGTAACGTTTTCATCTTTTTTTTATATCATTTTAATGACTGGCACACCAAGGCTGATCAGCAAACCATTATGAGCTGAACAGACCAGAGTTGGAAGTAATCGTGGAGCGGCATTCAGACTACAGTGTCCTGAAACTAAAACATATAATCCTGCAATGGTAGGTCTGAAAAGGCTGGATAATACAGCTACCCTTAGACCGTAGGAAAAATTAAGGACTGGGCGAATTCCAACACATTTGGCGGAGTATCCCCCCCCTTCCGGCACCCATGAGGAAGTGTTCCTTGCATGCCGATTCACAAGCTCAGCATTTCCTCCAATCACAAAGCTGGATCAAACCGGTAAAGCTTGTGATTATTATTATGTGCCACCATACCAAGACGTTGCAAATAAAGGTAAAATTCGCTGTGCATTGTGGGACATGGTTGGACAAATTCAGTTCTCCGGCAGGAGAGAGGGAAGAAGATTCGTCGGTGTATTTCGACTGGCAGTTTTACTTATTTTTCCTTCTTTCGCTTGCATTGGATGTCCCAATCTATCAAAAAATCCACACGTTGTCAACTGACACGGTCAAATACAAATCGCAGGAAGGCAGCCATGCTTTTTACCGTAAACCCAGAAGTCTCAGCAGGGAAACATCTTGATGGCTCAAGATAAATTGTGATTATTAGCCATATAAATGTGTCAGATGGAATTGCATATGGCGCCAGACCCCCCAGGAACCTGACCCTGGGTCCCAAATATGGTTTCTCCAGGTGCCCTTAAGGGTGCACTGAACTAATTGAAGTCCCATTGAAGACAATGTAAAATCGACCACGTTTGCGGCCCCGGTGCAGGCCACCGAAGTCCCTCAGGCCTTTCAAACAAAAAACAAAGTGTTCTCGGGTCATTCAGCTCTCAATTCATTTTCAATTTTTAGTGGGTTAACCAATGGAATTTTTAATTATCCACCCAAAACAAACTCACCTCCCAAAAAGTGAAAGTTCCCAAGCCTGCCAGCGGCCATTTTGCAAATGACATCCCTCCACCTTTTCAGGCTCTTGGGATAATTTTTCAGTGGCATTTTTCTATGCTTCGCCCTGGGATGGGAGCCCTTGAATCTAGGGAGTTCATTCTGGGCCATTCTTTCACAATCCCATAAATTCTTGGGCCACACAATCTCCTCTTTTTCAAAGAAACTGTAGGGGGTACTTTTTGCGCGCCTCGGCCTGCTGAAGAATTTCCCTTAAGTTGGACAGTGCACCCTTAAGGGGGAAGTGTGGCGGAAGGGGCGACGCTGAGTGCGTTTGTAAAGAAAGGGGGTGCAGAATAATAATTGTAACAAAAGCAGCATTTTATTCAACATTAAATTCTTTATATTTTCCCATAAGTACTAGGATACTATACTTCCGTTCTAGGTAAAACGTGTGCACACCCGGCAGACTTCAGATGATTCTAGAACAGCATTTAGTTTCCGTTCGTATATTATTCAGCGAATACTGCATACCTTACCATCATTTGAATACAGTAGAATGCAATCAACGTATAATCGCCTCTCCAGTGACACCCTCAAAACATTATTTCCTAAAATGGGTTATCAATCAAAGACATATCATGATCCTTGGGAGGGGGGCAGAATTTTGTGAACGTGATCAAGGACGAAATGGTGTGTGTTTTCCGTTCTATATAAGAGTCAGTACCCCGCTTAATCAGCGCCAATATCCCGGTGCATTATTATTTAGCGAGGGTGGCCGTTATGTACATTTGAAGCCAGATACGAGACGGAGAGAAACCCCCCCGGCTTTGTGTTGGTCATTGTTTTACTGGAATCTCAGGAATTCTTTTCAGACGTCTGTGCCCGGGGGGGTGTCTGTTAAGTGACAACAGTCTGGAGACTGTAGGGATTGGACATGTAGGGGATACTCAACGGCTCATTTCTGGCTGGAAACAGATTGTTCACAAGCATGTGGCACTACTCGGCAGCTCTGGGGCAAGGTCGTTTTGTATGCACTGTGTACATGGGTAATGCAGGTGTTCCCGCTCGACACAAAGTAGTGAGACTTGACATGTGGTGCTGCCCCCTGAAAACTATGCATGACATATACAGGTCCTAGAGGATCGAGGTTAGCAGAAAAAAAGAAAAGAACTAGATCAGGCTAAAGGCTTACTGGTATGTTATATTATCTACCCTCAGCTGAAGCGCTCTCTCGACGATAAAAGTGAGACAAGTTAGTGGGAATTTTTTTCAACGAGGTTCATGTTTCCGCCCAGCGGACATGTGAAACAATTTTTACACGTAGGGGCCGGGGAGTTCCCATAAACTCACCAACGTACGGACCGGTGAAGTTCATGTAGTTCCCGGTCGGAGCAGATGTGTCTGCTCATAGTCTGCTTGACTCCAACCACAGCACCGGGAACCTTCTGAATCCGGTCTACTTGATGATTTGTTCATTTTGGGAACTCTCATGACGCAAGGAGCAGGGACAGTCAGCGCTGAACAACCGCAAATGCCCTTCCCTTCATTTGCTACGTTTGCATGATTCTCTGAACCATGCATACGTAGTGAGCTAGGTCGTGGAATTTTAGAAATTGTGTAATTTCTTAATTTTTTTCTTTCAAAACGTGTTTTGTTTTAAATAAATGAGAAGCTAAAGATATTAATCTCATGTTCTTTATGTTAAGAAAATGTCCCTCTTTAATCTTTTTGAGGACAAAAAAGGGGATAAAACTTGAAGCTTTGCATTGTAGTTCCCTAACCCCAGAGGTAGGCCTACAGTTCCCTAACCCTAACCCCACTCAACAGATCTTATCAGAACAATACCTCTTCCAAAAGAGATCTATCCACACGGTGTTACCGCAAGCCCTTTCTTGAGACATGAAATGGTTCATTTTGTTTGATTGGGTACATGGAAACAGGTTTAAATGGATCAAATCTGAACTTTATTCAGATCGGTATAAGAGAGGTGCGTTGCATCTTCGTCAAAACACCAAGTTTGGGAGTTTACACTTCGTAATACATGTACCAACCGTAAATACTGCCTCCTTTATTTCGTCAAAGACAATCGGAGATTAGCCAATAAGCGCACCGTGTCTCTTTAATTTTATGTGTGATGCAATATATGTGGCCAACACATACAGAAACCACAGGATGTCGGTCGTCGTCGGGCGGAACTGCATCAGAGCTGTCCTCTCCATGAATGGAGGATCGTACATGTAGGAGAGTTTAATCATGTAGGCCTATACACGTACCCTAATTCATTTTTTTTTACAAAAATGTTCAGCTGTCATAATTAAAAGCAAGTCATAGAGCAAGAGAACAAAACGATCACTGTTTAGATGGCTTCTCGTGCGCATGTACATGTACGAATCTACGTGATAACAAGCAGTGCGTGACGTCATATTTCTAAAACAAACTGCCTTTGAGTGTTTATAAGCGAAACTCAAACATTTCTAATCAGGTTCATTAACTGGTTATCACTACAGATAGAGATACAGTTGGACTCATTTGCGTTTCCACAGTCAAGAAAATTCTGAGCAGCATTGATTTCTGTTAAAGCTGCCTGTTCATTACTCGCCCCAAAATATCAAGTACACGACACTCAAAATTGTCAGGAAATGCGGTGATCTCTTTAAAATAAATAATTCACTCCGAGTCTGTAATAAAGCCATTCCGAACGGATGAAAAGAGCTATCCAAAAAGAGGGGGGAAACCGCTCCAAGAGAGTGAAATTTCCATTTTGCCAAGGAGCCATGTTTACGGGACGACTCAAAAAGAGTTGTCCTTTATTGGCTTCTCTTTTTACAGTGAATGCCACTTCTTTGGAATGGTTTTCACTCCTTTCGGAGCGGTTTCCAATACTGTGAAGTGGATTTATAAGGGTCTCACTCTTTCTTGAGGGTTAGGTTTTCTCTTGTTTGCCTTTAGTGGGTAAAGCCATCTCGCAGACGGCCAAAGTCTCATGGAATAGGGAAAAAACGTGAACAAAATATTCCTCCGGTTTGAGTATCTATCCAGCCTCTCACACTCAATGACACACAATCGGAGGAATAAAGTCCACTCTTACTTGTCCCCGTGGCCTCATGGAAATGTTAGTTTAACCCAAATTTAGTATGCGTAACAATGGCTTCCCCATTAACGCACTGTGTCCATGAGTGCTCCTGTAGTTAGTAAGTTCCCGCAACCGAATACCGGGCCATCGGTTATCGATCGCGTGCGGTGAAACACGTGATAAAATTTCTCGTTTTGTTGGAACTGCGACTGGCAATTGCAAATGTCAAAGTTGAAATATTAATTGTGAGAACTACCGAAATCGGAGGAACAAGGTGGCGAAACCAGATGAATCCGCAGGAAGAAACTCAGCCGGGGGTCTAGTCTTGTATTTTATAGGGGCTGTCCCTTTAAGTGTGACATCATTGCTAACAAAACAGTGCCACTCTGAGCACGCATATGTAGCGTCTCAGGGTGCGTGCGTCCACAATCCAACACGTAGGTTTGACGTTTGCATCACCTGAGTAACCTCCGCACTGTGGAATTGTCACAAATTATCAAGATAAGAATATATCAAAATCCATTATGACAATTCCGTGAGTTTAAAGTTTTTCAGGTCTGCAAATATCGTACGCCGCCTTCAAAGTTAGTCGCAAAGATAGATATGTTATCGATTAAACATTATTGATGTCGTAATGCTCCTCGATCCTGACGTCAACTGAACCTGCAGAAACAAATTTTTCTTTTTAAATTGTTCTTTTTTATGTAGTCTTTGGTATGGGAGAAAATAGTGTCACAAAAGCCTTTAAATAATAACAGGTCTGCTGTGGCCAGTAAGGCATGGAATTGAGGGCAAAGCTTCAGAGCAAGTTCAGCTCTGAAGTGTCTACTTCTTTTAGACTTAGTGCTTTGGTCAATTGGTACTTTCCTTCAGAGTGGAGATCATTTTTAGGAAAACAATTCCCCCACCCACTTCCCCTGACATAAAGCTTGGATACCCCCCTGGACCAGAAACCTTACAATTCCCCTCCCTGTGGACGGGTAGCAAACCACCGTACACCATTGACGTCGCGCCTAATCCAAGTGTGCGACAGGCAAAATCTTTCCCGCGTCTCTCCAATGCTTTTTAAGGGAAAAGACCCCAGTTCACCATGTCCGGTTCAAACTAAAGTTTTTCCAACCAATTTTGGAAGATTTCTCGAAGAGTTTGAATACGACTTAAAACCTGGTTTCATGTTCGCAATAACAAGCATTAGACTTCGTTTCGCATCCTTCAAATAAATGAATGTGCATTACGATATATTATAGATACGCGACTGGGATTTCGGATTGACATATTCGTTGTCAATTACAACCAGTATGCATTCGTATTCGCTACAAAATCTGTCTTCTACCGTGAAGTGAATATTCATTTTCATTTGCTGTAATTTTATAACTGCAGAATATACGTTCAATTCGATAACAATATAAAATTTTAAACAAATCCTGAAGCCACTTTGATAACATTCTACTCATGAATGTTTACTGTGAGTTTTTTTTATCAAACTGTAAAAAAATAAGGTTTTTATGATTGAAACGTAGCACAAGAAGGGATGTTCCCTCAGCGCCATTTTTATAGGTTTACTGCAATTGTAGATATGTTAAATTCCAATGACAACATAAATCGTTTATTTCAATCATGAATATTCAAAGATTTAACCAATTAACTAAACACTTCTAACAATGTGACTTCTGTTAACACACAAACGAATTCTAACTCTTGACCAGGTATACGTTAAAAAACACTTCGCGCGAAATCACCTGCACATTTTCCGAAATGGATTGAGTTCACATGCAGATGAATGCGGGATGGCACAGGTGCATTCGATTTTGCGTAAACATGAATGCCAATGCACCCTCATTGAAATAGCATTGAAATAGGACTTTTATTTGTTAAATAGAAGGAGGGATTTGAACGTTCGTTCTATTTTGCTCGAAAACGAATGCTGGTATCGTTAATTCATTTCCACGTAAAATTGGCCGGGAAAACCTATAGGCCTACTATAGTTCCATACCGGAAAATCCGGACGAAAACAAACAGCACCTGTGAAAATATACCATATCAGGATACAACACAGGTGATTGACGGCCATTTTCATTTCAACGTGTCAGCTAAATTCCGCTCTTGAAAAAGCCTTGATTCGCACTGGAAAAACGTACTGAATGAACTAAATTACAGTCATTATTCGCAAACTTCGATGTTCTTTTGAAATCAAAGAACAAGAACAATCAAAGAAGTCATCTGACAATCAGACGATCCAAAACAGCTAAATCAAAATTGCAGTTTTTTTCCAGAGGCCCGGATATGCCTCGAGGTAATCAATAATACTCAGAAGTACACGTGGCGGGTGAATACCGCGCCTGTCCCTTATTCAGACCGATGCATGACATCGTTTTCAGCCAATCATCGTCATCGCAAGTAGGCCCTCGAAACTCAATGACGACGTTTGATTGGCCAAGAGTTGGAGTTTGCAGCATCGTTTATAATCTTTCGGAAAGTTCTCAAAGGAACCAAAAGTTGTTCCTAGGACAGAATATTCAGAGAGTGTTGGATGAAACACAAGTCGGGACAAGCTGCTGAATAATTTGCACACGGGCAACCAATCGGTTGGACTTCATTACAAAGAATTTTTCACAAATTTGGGTAAGCTTCTTGTTTTTATTTTTGTTTAAGCTATTGATTTGTTTGTATTTTTCAGCATCTACGGCATATCTCCAGAATTTTCATCGGTTCTTGCCTCAGTCTTCGACTGTGTGTCTGAGGTTTTGAGAGTGAAGTGTTTCTATGCCCCGATAACGTTAATACTTGTCGTTCTTCAGAAATCAAACACTGGCCGGAAGTGAGACTCGATTTTATTCAACCTTAACTTCCATTCAGAATTTTCTTTGGTCTGGAGGTTGACGGCTAGCATCATCTAATTACACGTTTTCAGCTATGATTTAATCTCAACATCCCTCCACCCCCTGTGATTGGATCGGCAAAGCTCTGGGCTACAGCGTTTCATTCAAAATTTGTAGATCCATACCCCCACTGCGGGACTAAGTTTTGGCTTATGCTATTTTCTACCGGTACTTTATGTATTTTTGTGGGCCGAATAAATAATTCCAGCTCAATGTTTATTCCAATTTACAAATACCGTTTTAGTCAAAGAGTCAAAACATGTCATTAGACGATACATTTCCAAGGATTTTGCTCAAGAATTGTATTTTCATATTTTACCGAACACCCCTAACAATTTTATGGACTTGGCGCGCGTAGCGAGTTCTGCGAGTCGCTACACGACACACCTCCTGGACGACATGTTATGCTAGGGACCAGCTCAGACAAACCTGGACCAATCTCGTTGGGCCTCCAACCCAGACCCCCCCCCCTTTTTCAATGTTGGGTCTATGCGCGCGGTCTGCGCTCCGATTGGACATGATAATGACCACATTGACCTGGCAGTAGGGGAGGTCGCTTTTGAGCGTATGGCTATACTGCCAGGTGTACCAACAATTTTGTCCAGAATTGCAGGTGCCAGCCCATTTTACGCAGCGGGCATTATCACATGTTACTACACGGTGGCGTGACGCGTTTGGACCAATAACAAGGAAATTGTCCCAGGCGTTTATAAAACGTGATAATTTCTGAATACAAGAAAAATTCATTACATGGACCCTTGTATCCTGAAGCTCAGATAAAAACAACCGATGGTAGCGATACCCTCGTATTGACAATTGGTGGCTAGGGTCTGGAAATTTGCAAAACTGTGATAATTCTCTTCACTTCTCTAACTGTATGTCTTTTTTGGAAATGAGCATTTTACCGTCACTACGGTTTAGTTCTGATACAGGTCGAACCGGAATTACTAAACACTGATGACAACCACATTTGAACGTTAAACGTCTTTTTAACTGATCGTTTCCTTTCTTTTTCACTTTCTTTTTATTGTAACTTTCATGCAAGTATATGGTCAGATTAGCATGGAAGTTAGTATTAGATCATGCGCGTGCTATAATTTTTTATTGCAGCTTAGATTCTATGCAATCTTAATCATTTTTACGCATGAACAACTTAAAGATCCACAAGTGTAAGGAAATGCAGCATTATGACTAAACTGCACCTCCAAACGAGCTTCTGATTAATATGGTGGTATCAAGATAGGGCCAGTCGCTCAGGAAAAACAGCTTGGACACTTTTTGAGTTCTGATTTGACTTTGACCGAGATAAATATTTTTTAAATATTATATTAAAATTAATTATATTATATACTTTTTCAACCAACCATCTGCTTTTTGACCTCTTGGTACAGGTCACACCGTAAGTTATAAGGGGAATCATGTCCATCATCGCTTCCGTAAGGACACACTGCATATGGAGCAGCGGGAGGCTAAATGGAAATCCACGTGAACTGGCCACTGCATCTAGAATAACAAGCCATTACCGCGGAGCCATCATGGGTGCGTTCGATTAGCTTACACGTGTAAGTCAACTTACACGAGAGCGTTCATTTAGCCATCATGTGATCTTCGTGCCCGCCCTGGTGTCACCCACCACTACCCCGGCTGGCGAGCGGTTCTCTGGAGGCTGCCCGAGGGTAATGATATCACTGATGGACTGGTCGAGCATGGACATGATGGAACGAGGCGGGGGCTTGACTTTTTCCCAGAATGCCTTGGCAAATACACAGCAGCGTTCGATCAGCCTCATTTCGTGGCTTCCCTTGCGTGTAACACTGGTGTATTCAGGGAAGCTAATCGAACGCACCCCTTTCAAGCGCACACGCGCGCGTTGCATTCCTTTCCGCCCGATCGGGTGCCGTGAGCGGCCAGAGTGTGCGCGCGCTTAAGTTGAGGCAGGTGAGAGAGTACAGTGGCCCCGCAGGAGCAGCGTCACTTAAAGATTTGTCAGCAATCAAAACAGGGGAACCAATATTACATTCATGCTGCATTAATTTTGTCACATCCACTCTTCAACGAAAAAAAAATGAAATTGGTTTGGTCACAAATAGAAGCTGTCATTCATCATGCCGAGGAAGAAATGCAGAGAGCAGTAACTTTATGAGCATTTTAGCACTTTCAGTAAGATCTCTTTTCAAGGATGGTTTTTCCACATTTTGAGCTTGAAAACGAAAAAATGTAGCATTCTAGCCACTTAGTTCTAGACCCTTAACTGACCTCCAGTAGCATTATTTTATCGGGGTATTGGCTAAAGAACTTTGGACACAAAAGGCCAGTGCAATGTTCACGTCATTGTGTGTAGTTCTTGTGCTTTTTGTTCGCAGCTTGTAATGTCACTTCAAAATACATGCTGTAGACCCAGGCGCAGGGTTTTCTTTAAATAAAAAACTGTCCAATGAGAAAATTTGAGTTGCCAGTTTCAACCGAAAATTCCCAAATGGTCAAGCATTAATCCCTGCAGCACCTGACACTATTTGTCGGGAAAGTATGGAAAATTTGAGGTTTTCAAAACGTGAATTTCCAAAAACAAAAGTCAGATATATTCTTGCATTTAAAAGGAGTAGCTCATTCCACACAGCACGTTCCCAAGAAGAATTTGACTTCATGGACCCGTAAAATACTGCGGATTATAGCATTTATAGGGACCTGATGGTTCTGATGGTCTTGGGTTCTCGATGGAAGCGATTTTCCATACTTGAAAGTGCAACTGTAATGCGGTGTAATCAATACGTGCTATGAAACAGGAGGACAAACAATATTATTCATGAGTTGAAGGACGTTCGAAGGGCGGAGTAAACGCTGGGCTTCATGCATTTACAAGTCGTTCAAATACAAGCACAAGTTGTTTTGCTAACGGCGAAATATTTTGTAATCTAGTCAAACTAGGCCATTGTTAATGACTTAATTTACATGTAACTAATTTTACTTGTCTCCTGGACAATTCAGGTCCTCTCCAGGCAACTTCAGTTTCTTAATCCGACTGATTTCGCAGCCTCCAACACTAGCGAGCCTGTCACAAAGTAGCAGTTTCTCTTCTGATGCCGTTAGCTTGTAACCATCTACTCTTGTATGCCAACTTATTCTAGAGTTCCCAGTCACTAACTTAGTTTTGACAACAAAAAGGTGCAAATTAATGCCTTTGAAATGATGTTCTTGTCTTGTGTCTAATTTCATATCTTATCCCATCTCTTCCCTATTTTTTTTTTACCTCGCATCTTACCTTGCAATATCCTTGAATGGAGAAAAGCAATGGTCGTTTGTTGTTTTTCAGCTCTTTTTTTTCAATCTCACCTTATAACCAATCTGATAAATTAAAGATGTACTTAATACAACTATGTTCTGAAATCCGAAATTTATTTCCATTTTCCTTTTCTTAGCTTTCAGAAGAAAGAGTCAATTTTTTCATCGACCAGTCAAAAGTTCTGCTACAAATCTCATAAAAACTCGGGAAGCAAGATGCACAGCAAACCAGTGCAAACTGAAGAGTGGCCGGTTCTAGCTAACACCCCCAGTGCAGTTGTTGGAATTGGTAAGTGGCATGACGTAGCCTATAAACAGTTCTGTTTACTCTGAATGCTCGAAGGAAGCAGAGCCCAAAATCACAAACAAGAGGGTCCGATACAAACACGCTCGTTACTGAAGGACATAATTATCTCCCAATTGTAAACAAACTTAAAAACGACCAACATTTTGTACTTTTACATACAACATAGTAAAAAAAGATAAATGATACTGTCCCCTTGGTTATATTTGGAAAACGCTGTGAATTTTAAAAATTTCCTTTTAATGAGTAACATCAAACACAAGGCAAAACCTCAGAAAACTGAGCGAAAATGGTAATAGTATAATAACCTTGAATCACTTTGTGACTGTTTAAACGCAGGGTGTCGCACCACTGGAGGTGTCAACTCCCCCAAAGGAAGTCTGGGGTGTCTCGATTCGGGGTAACGACATAATCAGCGAGGTTCCTCCAGATAGATGCCAATAAGAAACATTCCCTGACCCTGATGAATCTAACCACAGCAAGCTGGTGAAACACAAGGTGGCTTCATCGACAGCATTGACAAGCTTGACACCTTCTTCTCGATTTCACCTGAGAAGCAAGTTCCCTTGTCAACTTTTACATGGGCATCGCACGCTCTGCTTTTGCCAACTGCATACCCTTACGCCTTCGATTTTCGTGGTCCCTCCTACGCAGTATAGACACAGTCTAGTCTTCGTCCATGACTGCCACGCACAAGCACTAGTGCGGTCAGAGTTGTCAAGAGAGGTTATTTTATGCAGAAAACTTATTCTTGCCTACACCAGAAACGTCGACTGTGACAGTATGGTACTCACGGCTGATATCATCATGCCGCGCGCAAACAAGGTAAACTTTTGGCGACATTGAAGGGAGTTCCAGGCTCAGAACTTTAATGGTAACCAGTCAGATGTTAATTATATATATAACGGGTTTGCCCTTACCCAATGTATATTAATAAACACTGTATGCTCAGTGCTTGTCAGAGAGCTTGCGAAAAAAACCTCACAAGCTTACTCGGGTGGGACCCGTTATATACATAATTAACATCTCCCCAACGCAAAAATACATCTTGAAAACAGTCAGATGTTCCAATAAAACCATGCAATCAATTACGCTTTCCAGTGGCAACCAGCCTTAGCAAAGACACTGCCAACGTCAATCGTCTCAGACGTTTTTGAGAAGAGCAATCTTCGTCAGACATATGGGGATGAGATGGATGCCACTGATATCAAGCAGGTGTCCTTAATGATGTTGAGGGTGTCTGCGTCTCTTACATCCGACACGCCCTTGATACAGTACCACCTGAGGAAAGGGAACAATCGGTTTCAAACCATTGTCAAGAATGCTAGCAGCAAAGTTGCCGAGTATACAGAAGCTGCCAAGCACAAGATCCGAGTCATGGTGGTTCAGGCTGCAGATTGGAGGACTGACTCGCTTCATCGCTGATTCATTAAACGATTTGGGAACTGAAGAGAAAATGGAGAGTCTTCATTGATGTGAGTACCACCTTCCAGCAAACTCAGGAGAACCTCCAGGAGTTTCCATTTATCCAGTGCAAACAGGTGCACATCGAGGAGGATGTCAAAGATTAAGCATTTTTTCCCTGGTAGATTCAATGTTATAGTCTGTATCGATACCCTATAGGCATATACAGATTTCAAGCGAAGCATGGGGTTCATGGCTGACCTAATCACTGCAAATAGGTTGATGTTTATCATGGAGGGAACCAACACACACTACCTGACTGATCTGTGGTTTGGGGCTCTTGATGTCTGTTGGGTTGTTTGATGACTTTCGTAAGGAACGCTGCTGGATGTCTCTCCAAGCCTGGTTGGAAACCATGGAGAAAGTTGGTCTCAGAGAAATTTCATCAGCATCCTCGCCAAATGAATTCATCCACTGTGTCCTTGTAGGAAGAAAGCCTTCAGTCTCACAGCATCACCGAATGATCATCCAGCAAGACAAGATAGTGCAAGACAGCAAAACAGGTTCTCATCAGAGTTCCTTCCTCACTGTCATGGTGGGGTCCAGATCAGCAACCTTTCCGAGGCCAACTCTCCGGGTCGTGTTCTCAGCGAGCATACAGACAGCCCAACAGAGGTGATGTACATCTGCAACAAAGACGACTCCCGGCCGCATGCGCTCTTAAAACTCTTTAAGGCAATATAATCAAACTCTACAATTGTAAAATGAATATTGGTTGTCACAAAGGGAGGAAATACGGATTCATCTCGTCCAAATGGATTCCTGGCTGTTGGCTAAACCAGGGCAGTAGGCAGATTCCAGGCGTGCCCGTTTTTCTGTAGATTTGAATCCTCAAAACTCTCTAGCAGAAAATGTCCATGAAGTTTTGAAGCTGATGGACGACTCTGATCATGAGGAACAAGAGCTTGTAATCCGATAGAATCTGAGGTTTGTTCGACGGGTTATGAATCAAGACCTAGTGGGGCAAGACCACACAACCCATGGAATGGTGATTGGAGCAGCATTAGGAAGCAAAGCAGGCAAAGGGGGCTTCTGTTTGGGAGGTCCCATCAGGATATGTTAAGATTAAAGTCAAGACAGCCCCTTAAACTTCAAGACAAGGAAGAGACTGTCAGAGTTCTGGCCATGAACATCAGCTACACATTGATGAGTTCTTGTAGCAGTGGGCCAGCTTCTATCTAGGAAGATCTCCCGTATATCTGCGTTGCACATCAGGTAAGTTGACAAATCCTCCTTTTTTTATTAACTAATTACATATTTAACATTAACGTTTTACCGGAAAATTATCCACAAAAAGGACACTCTCATATTTTTAAAAGAGTGAGCATATCTCGTGCTGAAAGGTCAATAGGGAAGTTCCAATTAAGTACCTTCTCTTATCCCCCCCAACAAATGCTATCAAGAAGGTGGTCATTCAAAAATTGTGGGACTTACATTATAGCTGTGCTTTTTACTTTATCTAATGTGGGAAAACTGATGTTTTCACTCACCTTCAGGACTGGGGAGCGACACAGCAATTCTGGTACAAGAACACGCTGAAATTCCACCGCTTGGCGGCACACAACTCCAAATTAGCCAGTGGGGAGGCTCGTTGCCTTGACGCCGCAGACCTAGAAGCCAGGGTAAAATCCAAGATGGCAGAACTTCTCGGCGTGCCTGAGGAATCCATTGACGTCATCCAGCCCATGGTAAACTATGGCGTAGACTCTCTGGTTGCCTTGAAAATGGTAAACTGAGCGATCAATCAGTCGGGGATGACCATCTCCCAGTTGGATATCTTGGGTGGCATAAACACTGCTGATTTGCTGGACAAAGCAATCCAAACCAATCAAATTGGGAAGTGAATTTAAAAATCAGTCCTTTACTTAGTCAGTATTTTACAGTATGTGTGGAGTACAGAGTTTCCTGTTGTATCATGGAGGAGAGCGCTGACTGTTTGGGGTACAGGTTTTCAGAGCATTTTAGAATTTTTTATCTCTATTTTTTTCCTGGACGTCGCGTTTCTCCGAGGAAGTGACTTTGTATTCCTAATCTGTAAAATATAAAACTTTTTCTTCAGCTATGCAACTTGTTATGTACTAGTCAATCAGAAGTGGGTTCATCCGGTATTGGAAGCTTAATTTCTGCACTGTGCAGATCTTTATATTTTTGGCTCTATACATACATACATAAGCATTATTATTTTTTTCTCACTCTACCATAAATGGGATGTTTGAAATCACTAAGCGATTTAGGCAAGTGTGTAGACGCATATACGTAGGAAGAGACGTAACGGAGTAGCCAGTAATGCTGGGAGTTGGAAATGTTTTCCCGACTACAATTGTTCGTTATTTATGCTTATGTGTACATAATATTGTTGTTGTACTATCGGATGGTAGAATAAGTCTAGCATGAACAATCCAGTTACCTGCTCTTAATACAAACACAGCTCAGCCATGGCAATACAAAAATAGGAACATTTCAATAATTCAGTGGTAAACTTCTTCATAAAAATAATATAAAAAGGGCAAATTTTTCATTGGAAGTAGGGCGAGAAATTATTTTCAAAAATGTAATTTTCAATTTTTGCTCTACGTGTACATGTTTTTGCATCAGACATGATTTGGTGTTGAAAAACTAACTCGAAACTCCTAAACATTTTTCTAATTACTGAGAAAGATAAAACAGCAATTTAAAATTCTTGACAACGAATGATAAAACTGGTGAATGGGTTCTTTCGCCCGAATACACGATACTGATCAAAGACATCATAAAGTTTGAGTTTGAATATATAGTCTAAACGAGGCTGGGGTCATTTTGTATCATAATTTACAGTTGCCAAGATACATCAACAGTCGTAATTTCGATGAGCGTGTGGAATCACCGCCAGTGATCCGGAAAGGAATTAATTTTCGGCCGCCCATTTAGGAAATAACTTTAATTTGCCAAAAACCTATTTGACTCACATCACGAACCCAGGTACTTCCACTGCAACGTAAAGTGGTCAAAGGAAGTTGACATAATCTTGAACTGGTAGAGTGGAGCACACCCTTCGCAACCGTTTTTTTTTCCGTATAGCATATCAGTCACCACATCCACTTTGTTTGCATTCACCAGTGAATACGGTACTACAGTAGAGTAGAGGTCTCAATTGAGGAAATATGGTTTCCGGGAATAGATAAAATTGAAATCCTGCTTCACTAATTTTCGAGTGGTTGTCACTGTGAGCCAGAGAGAAAAATCATTCAAAAAGGTGGAGAGTAGCCTTTATGATTATGGCTCATCAAAGAAAGATGTTTCACTGTTTCGACAGTAAGATTTTAAAAGACGGTTATTAGAAGCCTCGTTCTTTTTGAAAGGTTTTGAATAAAGTGTGAATCAAAAAATCCTTTGAAAGGCAGATTTCGGAGGCAAAAGTGGCAGTTTTAGGCGTCAGTAGAAATGGTGAAATTGTAAAGTGAAAATTGTAAGGACGGCCGTGTCCGAATTGCTTGATTGCGGCTTTAAATCATACGTTGCAGTTTGGGAAGAGGCACAAGCCAGCACCAAAGAATTGTGCGTATTCAATTTCAAGTCGCAGTCAAGCACCTCTGACCTGCGTGGTATCAATACTTACTTCCATCATGTTCCAGGAACGCGTACAGTTCCTGATTCAGTCTGCATTTTAAAGGATCAGTTCTAATTAAGCTTTGAATTTGGACTTCAACTAGGTTCCGGGTTGTTGTTCGGTGGCGAATCAACATGACCACTGTTAACTTTTGTCAAAATGGAGTACGCCTAATAAAAATTTTAAAACAAAGTTCACATCTTGATTTTCTAGGTTACCGAGAAGTTAATTCCTCATTCAAATTCAGTTCCTTCCAAACACCAACGTCTACTTTTGAAATGACTTTGGAGCTGAAAGCTGATTCATCTTATCTTATACTTTCGTATCCCAAATTCTCTCCCAAATTTAAAGGTTGTAAGAAATACTTAACCACACGCTCGTTCGCCTCATTGGTGTAATATTGTCCCGCTAGTCAAGTTACATGTACGCATCGAAAAAATTGAAAGCAGGCTGCTCTGAATAGCAGGAACTGCTAAAATTGGCATGGAACCAAGTTAAGACCATCGAGCTATTTAATACGATTTTCCTCTTCGAAAAAACCAATGTGTTTATTTTTTCAAATTTAAAGAGAATACTCTCTGAATGGAACCGAGTAAAAAGTACCACTAGAAATATTTTGAGTGGTCCCTATATACTGTGACTCTTCAAATGAAAGAGTGGTGGTTGCTTCACTATTTCCGAGTGGCTGTCACTGCGAGCCAGAAGGGCATGTTACTCAAAAAGATGCAAACTTCATTCTAAAGGAGTGGATGACCCTTCCAAAGAGTAGTCTCTCAGAGTCATGGCTCTTCAAAGAGTGCCTTTTCACTCTTTCATATTTAGACAGTACAACCATGAAAAGACAGTCATTAAAAGCTTCGTTCTTTTTGAGGGTTTCGATATGGTGCGAATCACAACACTGTTTGAAAGGCTGATTTTGGAGGGAAAAGGGGCAGTTAATGTGCTACATTAAAGTGAACTGGTTGAATTGAAAAGTGAGCGTGTAAAAAGAACGGTCTTGTCCGACTTACTTGGTTGCGGCTTTAAACTCAGTGGAAAGAAGCTGCAGTAAGTACCATAGAATCGCGCATAATGGCAAGCTGTAGCCCTGCACCGGCACCTCTGACCTGCGTAGGAGTGTCAATACGTTCCAACATGTTCCAGGAACGATAGAGTTCTTGATTCAATCTCAGATTTTTTTCCACGGATTATTTCTAAAAGCTTTTAATGTTGACTTCAACTAGGGTTCCGGGTTATTGTTTGGGTGGCGAATCAACATGACCATTGGTAATTCTTTGCGATAAATGGATTAATAAACAGTGTTCACATCTTGATTTTCTTGGTTACCGTGAAGTTAATCCCTTACTGAATTTCCATTGGCGTAAATCCCGGGGCATTGGGGTATACATCCCTCCCCTTTTTTGAGGGAGGGGGTGGGCTTATTGAATCATCTCTCTCACACACACGAACGCGTTTTTGTGCATGGTAAGCAAAAAAATGAAATGGATTGTAAAGAAGTTTTCGGACTTTCCAACGACTAAAAATGCATTCAATAAAACTCAAACAATGAAAAACAATTTTAAAAGTCATAAATATGCCATTCTGAAGTAAGATTCTGCATGAATGTAAGACATTCATCGACATCATGAACATCGATCTTTATATACTGCCACATGGTGTCAACCCCCCCCCCCCGGCTTGTCAAATACTCATAGCCGGGCAAGTCATTAACCCACCTTCCCCATGCCCCCATTTCCGGCACAAATTTACACCACTGGGGATTTCAGTTCCGTCTTAACACCAAATGACTTTGAAGCTGAAAGCTGATCCATCTTATCTTGTACTTAAAAGTTGAAGAAATCGTTTACCTCACACTCACAATAGAAAAACACGAAAAAAAGATATCGAAAAGAGTTTACCACACAAAAAACCTATTCCATCTGATAAAATCAAACCAAAGCCATCCCGCAAACAAAAGCAAAGAAAAATCAAAGCAAACAGGATTCAGGCTTTCCTTGACTACCCAGTGTCAACAATTAAGTTCCTTCACTAACAACCATGCAGTATTAAATTTATTTCATTTGTAGACCTGAACTTTGCACAATGCCCAAATAATAATGATCTAGTTACACATTAAACCGGACCTCCGCGGTTTTATCTTGACAAAGTACCGCGACGCTATCTTCTTGATCTGAAGTGTGTGAACCTCGCTATTTTAAAGCCTCATTTAGTTTAAGTAACCTTTAAAATAATCTGAACTACAGTGGTACTTCCCTGGGTAGAAAGTACTTTATCATTATCATCTGATTTTGAAAAAAAGTGTCCAACGCTGTTCCCTGCTGCCACTCCAGTTAAGTGCGCTGGCTTATACACTCCATTAAAATAGAAGATGGAAGCAAATGCTCAAAGCAAATCCTCTGACGAAACACTATTAACCAATCAGGAGGAAGAAATTAACAAACCTGTTCAAACGCAAAGTCGGTTCCAGGACCAACTTTTTCAGGGGCCTTGTTCTAGGGAGCCAAGAATTCGCCGGGAATTCACGTAGCCATTTATGGTATTTCTGAGGGTGAGGCTCAACAGGTGGGCCTGTATGTAAACGTGTTTTGGATGAAAGGAAATGAAAATGTCCCCTGTTGACCGCCCTCTATTTCCCATCTGGCAAAGCACAAAGACATCTGGTACATGTACATGTACATTACTTAAGTGCGATTTACCAAACCGTAGTAAATGGCCCATGCATTGCTCCTTCAGTCTGCATTTATAATTGGCTGATTCACTTGACGAAAACCGTTTCCATATACAACGTAACACAATAGAAATACGAATGTCGCCAATCGCGATTTGTGCGTCCGCACTCAACGTCCGGACTGCCCTTTTCATACAACTTGTTTGTCACCAACAGAGAAACCCGGATTTCATTACAAACCACTTGCACAAACTTAAACACCCCTTTAAGATCAACGGAGGCGCTGTTTGCTTTCCGTCTAAATCCCCAGCGGCATGTATAGTTGATCAAACAATAGTCAAAAATTCTCCGTCTACTGGGGAAAACACTCGGGCAATCCCGGATCCCCAATCAGCATGCAAGCGTGACATCATCTTCAACCAATCAGTACAGCCGGCAACTATTAGCCAGTGAGTAATGCGGACAAGTTGGTGGTCACCTATTCACTTCCCGCGCCTTTAAAAGATGCTGCAAGTTGTTACAAAGACACATACACCGAAGATTTTTGGACAGAGGGCAAGTCAGATCAAAAGTAATCAATACTCAGTGCAATCGCTACCAACCAGTTGGATTCAGCCGCAGGGAACCTTCACCTAACCCAGGTAAATTTGTTACCTTGTTTAGTTTATTTCTTTTAACCAGATTGAATAATTTTTATTATAATGTGTGAACCAACCTGACGATCGTTACTTTATTTGGTCAACTTGAAATAAATTGTATCAGGAGCAAAACAAAGAGGCTCATTTCCATTCCATGTCCTATAGAAAATACCTTCCTCAATATATGGCTTGAGGTAAAGGTACTTTTTCAGGCGTTTAGAGAAATGCTGTAATTAAAATATTAGTTTTGTTCATAAAAATGAACCCAGTGCTTTTCAGGCACCCGACGGCCCAATATGATGTATCACAATTTAAGGACATTTTGGAAAAAAAAACATAATTGGACCTTCGCCGTTTTGTTCTTTAAGTTTTGAAGACTGAAGCTGTTTTTATTTTAAAATTTGTGTATCGATCATCATATTTTATGGATAATTAAAAATGTTTTTTTAGGGGAAGATTTGCAAATACAAGCATGTTAAACTTGCTTTATCGCTTGATAGGTTTCAACAGTCAACAGTTGATTTTTCATTTTGAGAATCAGAATCAGAAATAGCGGCCTCATATTACCGGGATATCATTCTAATTTATATTTACCAAAAAATTCGACTTAAATTATTTTGGCAAAATATGGCCACCGGGTCCTCACCACAGTATTCCGGCTGAACAGGCCGTGACGCTAAAAGTGACGCTGTAAATTACACCGCAATGCAAAAATCCGTACCACATTCATTACACTCACTCAGAGCCTTGACCTTTTCTGGTTATGACATTACAGATTTCCCACACCTTTTCAAATCTTTTTTATTTCAGAGGTGTGAGTGGTCACTTAAATTAAAGCTGAAAACAGCTAGCAAAAAGCTGAAAAGTAAAAAGTCCCCTACATTTGTACAGATCAGGTGTACAAACAAGCTGAAATTCAGCGTCAAGGCATCTAAACCAAAAAAAAGCAGAAATCAGCTAAAAAGCTGGCTTCTCATTCCCGTACTCATTTACGCTTGTAACCAATTAACTTCAAATTCGTTACAAAGAGTCTAAGACGAGCACCTGCGACATGTAATTTCTACATTGGTCAATCAAAACGATGAGCGGTGGTTCTTTCCCAACATCAAATTCTGTCCATTCGAAATCATTAGTTTTTTAGCAGAATTTGCCTCACCCAGAGGTTGTGTACGTAATGTAAGGACTTACTTAGTTTTGTTCGATTTAAAGAAAGTTTCAATCGAGTCATCGGATGGTGTACATTAATGCAAGAAAAGAAATTAAATGTTGAACAAACAATACGAAGGACAAGTCGACTGTTCAGGAAATATATGAAAATGTCTACTTATCTCGTGTACGAAATGAGAAGTATAAAGGTAATAGGGGCGATTCGCAAAAGTGCGCCACCATGACTTTGCAACGCATTGACCAATCACAGCGCGCGAAATTTGTCGACCCTTTCCAAACGCGCATTGGGTCGACAAATTTCGCGCAGTGTGATTGGTCAACGCGTTGCAATCTCTTGGTGGCGCACTATTGTGAAATGCCCGTATTCACTAGCCTGTGTGTCTGCTCCGAGCAGAACAAAAGAGGGCGTGTTTGTTTGTTTTTTAGTACCCAGCACATTGACGCGCGTTTACAATGGGGATGAATAGCGGCGTTTAACGAAGAGCACGCTGAGTACGCGTAACGAATTTATTCCTTAATGTATGGTCTTTGGCCGAGTTCGGCCGGCTTGTTCCCGTATGTTCACGAACAGCTCAATTTGTTGTTCGTGGGTCGGCCGCTCGAACGCCGGTAACAAACAACCGGTTATCACAAGCAACATGCAACATGGCCGCGTCCATGCACATTAAATTGAGTCCGCTTGTTTAATATCACAGCTCACAATCTGCTATTAATCAAGTAGCCACGGGAACGGCAAAAGTGGTTCCAGGAGATTTTATATTACTGTTCCATTGTTCCTGCTCATTGTACAAACTTAAAATTGACTTCTCGGACTTTTGTGATTTTTAAAGCTGAACACATTAGACGACACTCTTATGTTAAGTTTGAAAACATACACGGAAGTATCAGAACATGAATTTACCTAGGCGGCCACAACAGCCGCGAGCAGCTAAATATTGTTTGCACATAAGCAGTTTATTGTATATTACAATGGCTTGGCGCAACCGTGTGGGCTGTTTAGCTGCACTCTTTTCAAACGCGGGAGCAAACAAACAAGCAAACAAACAAACAAAAAGCCTGAAATATCGCCCTGCATTCCAGTGTAATAAGAAGTTATACTTCACCGTACAGTTTATATAGTACAGTTTAAAGTCAGGCATAAATCCTGCTTAATGCAGATAACCACTACCAGTGATCATGCTGTTTTACTTCGGTTCAATTATACTCTATTTCTAGTAGGTCTGTTTAAACGCCAGGTTGGTGCAATGTGACCACAGAGGCCATGCGTTCCAATGACGTGTAAAAACTGGTGAACATGAATGTTATACGTATCAGTATAAATATATAGACCGTAGGACGCCATTGGGGGGGGGGCCTTTACAGGGTAGTGGTGAGGGTCCCACTCATTGTAGTAACAATACTGTATTCTTCGTACAGGTTATATTCGCCGAAGGTTTTATCTGACTTTAGAAATCTTATTGCTACTGTAGTTTACACAACACATTTTCATTTCTGTTTTGTATTGAGTAAAAGATTTCAATTAAGTGCAAAAAAAATCGTCTCTGACTTCTTCTCACGATGTTACCATTTTGAAGCTCAAGAATAATCTGTACGCTTTTTAGGCGAAAACGTTCTCTTCCTTTTGGCACATTACTCCCGACACTTTAGTAATGCAAGTTAGCTGTAGACAAATGCTTTCTGGTCTTCTGTTTCCGGTTTAAATTCATTCATTATTGTACAAGATTGTTTACGGGCCTAAAAATATGGGATGTTATAACACTTGTACAAGATTGTTTACGGGCCTAAAAAATGGGATGTTATAATACTTGTACAAGATTGTTTGCAGGTCTCAAAATATGGGATGTTATAATACTTGTACTAGATTGTTTGCAGATCTCAAAATATGGGTTGTTATAACACTTGTACTAGATTGTTTGCAGGTCTCAAAATATGGGATGTTATAATACTTGTACTAGATCGTTTGCAGATCTCAAAATATGGGATGTTATAATACTTGTACTAGATTGTTTGCAGATCTCAAAATATGGGTTTTTATAATACTTGTACTAGATCGTTTGCAGATCTCAAAATATGGATGTTATAATACTTGTACTAGATTGTTTGCAGATCTCAAAATATGGGTTGTTATAATACTTGTACTAGATTGTTTGCAGGTCTCAAAATATGGGATGTTATAATACTTGTACTAGATTGTTTGCAGGTCTCAAAATATGGGATGTTATAATACTTGTACTAGATTGTTTGCAGATCTCAAAACATGGGATGTTATAATACTTGTACTAGATCGTTTGCAGGTCTCAAAATATGGGATGTTATAATACTTGTACAAGATTGTTTACGGGCCTAAAAATATGGGATGTTGTAATACTACTACTAGATTGTTTGTAGATCTCAAAACATGGGATGTTATAATACTTCAACTAGATCGTTTGCAAAAAAATTGTTTGGTCTAATTTTTTAAGCTTGCTGTCCGAAATGGGAACACCCATCGTAAGCGCGCGTAGTAAAACAAGCAGCCGTGCGTGAGAAGCTGTTTACATGTATGAACATTTACGTGTCACACTGGCATTTTGACATAACCAGTAGTGCCTTCTTTTTTCACAAACAGCGCCCTCCTTTCCGGGATCTTTTCATTCATTATTTATTTATTTCCATTCTATTGAAATTGGAAGGTGACCTTTGGAAATTTGAAAATCGGAAAAGTTACAATTAGGTCGTAACGATTAGCAGGTAACAGGTCAATATTTGGTTGTGAACTGCGTCATTCCATGAGTTAGGGGCACAATTTGTGACACTGCCCTTGTTACATGGGTAACTTTTACCACCTGTCATGATGACCAGTAGAGTAGGTCATTTACTCTGTAGAAATAACACACACCTCTGTATTTAGCCTTGCAAGATGTATGACGTTAATTTGGAATTCACATGCAGAGAAATAGCTGTTCTCATTCTTACGAAACCCATGTAACAATTGACACCGTCACAATTTGTACCCCAACCTCATGGAATGACCAACTACATGTAAGTACTCAAAGCGGTATTGCAAAAGCTCTCAGAAATGTTTGGACCACAACCCTAATCAAGATTCGCCGAAGCCAACAAGATTACTGGACAGTACTTTGTTCTTGAGTTTGACATAAAATACATGTATGGTTCGGTCCAATCTTTTCGGAAATTTGAACGTACTTCGCAAGAGGAACAATCTTTAACTTATTACGTACTACAAGATTTCACACCTGTATCGTGAATTGTCAATCAGAATTGAAAATCGTCATTGCCATGAAGGGGCCAAGTGCCACGGCGTTATTCAACTGGATTAATTGCAGTCATAAAACTAATGCATATGTTTTCTGAAACCAAACATTAACTTTCTGTTTCCTTTTGTTCTCGTTACAGAGAGACATTATTTTCATCACAGGAAAATAACGTCGCAGAGAAAGCACTGAACCACAAGGTTGCAAAAGTAAAACAGTTGATTCAGAACTGTCATCGAGCACAGCAAGCATGGACAAGTCGTCGGGTTCTGCAAGAACTCCGATTGCAGTTGTAGGAATCGGTGAGTGACATACATTTGTTTTCCCTAAAGGAGCATAAAAATACTTGTAGCGAGACCACAAAATACACGCCCTAAAAGAATTTAATTTTGACAGACTTTAAAACAGAAGGAAATGGCACTGCAACTTGGACTAGTCATATGTAATAGTAGAAAGAGTCAAACTAGATCATCCCTAGTTGCTTTTACAACACCAATTTCCGGTCATTTACTTTATTAATTTTGAAAGCCTGTAGAAATTCTTTCAAACTAGACACAGGCCAAAACCAATTAAGAAAATCTGGCTAACAACCAACGTAATCCGTCTCTGTCAGTAAAGTTACAACTTTCTTTCGCCTTTCAACTGTTAGATACAAGGTACCCCAACTGTAGAACCAAATGTGATCATTCGTTCAACTGACGTCAACATAACTTATAATAGATATTAAAGCCGTGAACAATAGTCAAAATATAAAATTAAAGATGATCAATTCATTTAATTTTATTAGATCACGGATTCAATAAGTTTACTTTCTTATATGTTCTCCTAATTATTATCATTTTCTCCTGATCACGAATTACACAAACATCATGTATTCTCCTGGGGGAGACGACCCAGTACAAGTCTCTGCTTTTTGTATGACCTCTCAATACTATTCAATAAGTTCAATTAAAGGTTTTCTTGCCTATATGTATTCAACTACTTTATAGTATGGATATAAACCTGAACGTGAACCTGAAATGTGGAGAGAAATAATTTTGAGCTATTTATAAAGCATCAAAAGTAAAGACATAAAAATTCCCGACATACTTTCGTATGCACATTTTTCAGATAATTATCTGATTAACAATAACTACTTTGACATTAAGGGCTATTTTAAAGTGTTTTCGTGTCATCATAAGGAACTGAATTTTTTCTTGGAAATATGCATCCAATAAGAGCATCTGAAATGATGTTTAAGGTGCGCTTTCGTCACGTATGTTACAGCAAGTGAATTTAATTCCAAACCAATAGACAGGCCCTGAGTATATTATTACACCACGCAGACCCTGGGTGAAAACGGTAAAAGGTAACCTTGCATCACTTTCTAACTTTGTTTAAATGCAGGATGCCGCATGCCTGGAGGTGTCACCTCCCCCAAAGAATTCTGGGATGTCTTGGTTCGGGGTGACGACATGATCAGTGAGGTTCCTCCAGATAGATGGTCTTTAGAAACATTCCATGACCCTAACCAATCTAACCACAGCAAAATGGTAACAAGACGGTGCGGCTTCATCCATGATATCGACAAGTTTGACAACACCTTCTTCAAGCTTTCACCCCGAGAGGCAAGCGCCATGGACCCCCAGCAGCGTCACATCCTCGAGGTCACCTATGAGGCATTTCAGGATGCAGGGATTGTCCCGAGCACCTTGGGAGATTCCTGCGGTGTCTACATCGGTGTTGGCATGATGGATTACACAGTGGTTTTGCTGGATACATCTATCATCAACCCTTACACGCTAACAGGCATCGCACACTCTACTATCTCTAACCGTATCTCGTATGCCGTCTTCGTGGTCCCTCATTCTCTGTCGATACAGCCTGTGCTTCTTCCATGACAGCGATGCACAGTGCCTGCAATGCTATCTGGGATGGTGAGTGCACTGTTGCGGTTGCAGGAGGGTGCAATAATATACTGATCCCTGAGGGCACCGTTGGTTTCAGCGCTTTGGGCGTCTTATCACCCGAGGGAAAGTGCTGTCCATTCTCCGATACTGCAAAGGGCTACGTAAGAAGTGAAGGTTGGGGCGTCTTCATCCTCAAGCCACTTGACTTAGCGCTGGCTGACAATGACCACATCTACTCTGTCATCCGTGGTAGTGCCATTGCTGCAAATGGTTTCAGCAAGAGTCTGACAATGCCATCAGCACCTGCCCAAGAGATGGTAATGAAGAACGCGTATGAGCGCTTTGGAGTGCCGCTGTCTTCTGTTCAGTATGTTGAAGCACATGGGACAGGCACGCCTGTAGGTGATCCCATCGAAGCTGGTGCTATCGGTCGCACCTTTCGCCATCAGAAAGACACTCCAATCAAAATAGGATCCGTGAAGAGCAACTTCGGCCACAATGAGTGTGCTGCTGGGATCACCGCTGCCATTAAAGTGGCTCTCATGTTGGAGAACAAGATGCTCGTACCCACCATAAACTTCTCAAGTGCTAACCCAGATATTGACTTGAGGGAGCTCAATCTCCAAGTTCAGACAAAAAATGAGCGAATAGAGACCAACCAAGATGACGAATACACCATTGGCCTTAACAGCTTTGGATTCGTTGGGGCAGTTGCTCACATGATCTTCCAAAGAGGGCCTAAGGTAATCAAGAGGATAAAGCAGACAAAATCCGCCGGCTGGAAGTTTGGCGATGAAAGGGTTGGCTGCCCAATTATTCTGCCACTCTCAGCGAAATCGGGAGGAGCTCTCAAGGATCTTGCCAAGAAATGGATAGAGTTTGAATGTGACAAAGATGCCCTCAGCGTGACATCATGGCAGGCAACTCGCAGAGAACATCATACCTACCGGATGGCTGTCATTGCTGACTCCACTGCCTCTTGCAGACACAGCCTTAAGGGATTTCTTGAAGATGCTGGATCAGAGTCTGTAGTAACAGGAACAGCTCCTCAAGAAAAACCACGAGTCTGCTTTGTTTTCCCCGGCCAAGGGCAGCAGTGGGTGGACATGGGCCGGGAACTCTACAAGGCTGAGAGTGTCTTCAGGGACACTATCAATACTTGTGACAAAATCTTCAAGAAGATGTCTGGGTGGTCTCTGCTTGAATGCTGTGGATTGTTCAGTAGCCATCCCATCCGGCAGGAAATCTCTCCCTACACATCTGTAGAAAATGCCCTCAGTCAAGTGGAAGTCATCCAGCCTGCCATCATGTTTATCCAGGTGGCACTCTACCAACTTTGGCGACACTGGGGAGTGCAGCCTGATGTTGTAGTAGGGCACAGCCTTGGAGAGATCTCTGCAGCCTATGCAAGTGGTGGTCTTACCTTAGAGGAAGCTGTAGCTGTCATATATCATCGAAGCCATCAACAAGCAAAGCAAGAAGGCACTGGTAGAATGGCTGCCCTGCGAGCTACAAAAGAACAAGCAGAAAAGATCTGTCAGCAGCACCAGAATCTTTACATAGCAGCTGTTAATGCACCTGGAGCAATTACTCTTGCTGGCAACCGAGATGTCATAGCTACAGTAGTTGAGCAGAACCCTGGGAAGGCCAAGCAGCTCCGCGTTACTTGTGCCTTCCATACTCCAGAGATGGACCCGATCAAGGAACCATTCGCCAAGGCCATGGAAGGTGTTGTCAAGAGTGAGCCCGGCAAGAGAGATGTGCCTTACTTCTCCACTGTGACAGGCGAATACTATGATGGAAGTTTTGGCACTGATTACTGGTGGAGCAACATCCGAGGTGCCGTTCTTTTCCAGCCTGCCATTGAAGCTGTTTTGCAGGAGACAAAGGCCAGTGTTTTTCTCGAGATTGCAGCCTCAAATACACTGCTGTCTTCTGTGAAACAGATTGCCCGTGATTTAGACGCCAAGCACCCACCTGTCACTATCAACTCCAGCCTCCGAGACAAGAACGACCTGCAAAGTATCCAAAGAGCAGTGGGCAGTCTATACGGTAATGGAGTGTCTTTAAACTGGGTGGCAATTACTCATGGATCGGCTGAATGGGCACCAGTTCCAACATACCCATGGCAACACCAGTCTTTCTGGTTGGAGACAGATGAGAGACAGAAGCGTCGCCTTGGTTTGGATGACCAAACTTTTAAAGGGCAAAACGGCAACTTCACCCTGGAGATGTTTCCTTTCTTTGCTGATCACGTAGTAAGCGACCGAATCATTTTCCCTGGTGCTGGCTACATTGAGTACATGACACAGATGACTTTCGAGGAAACTGAAAAACCAGCTTTCAAGAACATCAATTTCACCCGTGTCCTACCATGGCCAGAAGACAGTGACTCCAAAAAGAGTACCCTAAGACTTGGGCTAGTAGCAGATGGGACAGGAGTCCAAGTCACCTGTGACAGCAATCCACACTGCAATGCTCAGAGAAGTATCCCAAAAAAAACAGATGTAGAAGAGCGCCTCCCTCTTGAGAAAATTACAGAGCGATGCTCAACTGAGGTAACAGGTGAGGAGTTTTACGCCAGGCTTCAAGGTATTGGTCTTTCTTATGGGCCAGCTTTCCAGATGGTGGACAGGATGCTCCTTGGTGATGGAGAGGCACTTGCTTTTATGCATGTTGTTCCTGACAACAAACAGAGAATCCAGGTAGCCCATTTGGATGCAACTTTCCAACTCGCTTTGTCAGCTCTGGGCTCCAACAGCACTATGTACCTTCCTGTACACATCAACTCCCTTGAGATGTCCAGAGAATCTATTCCATCTGGAGAACCCATTCTAGCCTACACAAGAATTACAGACTGTGACACCGTGACACTTACAGCTGACATCATCATGGCTACAGACCAAGGTAAAATCCTGGCAACTTTAAAGGGCTTCCAAGGACAGAACTTCAGCGGTAACCACTCTGACGTTCCAATTGAATCGTGCATCTACACCACCCAGTGGCAACCAGCTTCAGCCAATACGTTGCCCACTACAGTTCTTAGAGAGGTATTTGAAGAAAGTAATCTTCGTCAGACATATAAGGATGAGATGGAAGCAATTGATCGGGCTGAGGAGGTTCTTGATGATGTAGAGGCTGTGTGCGTCTCTTACATCAAACATGCCCTTGACACAGTACCAATAGAAGAGCATGCACAGGGTAAGAGCTATGCCAAATACATAAAACTGTTTAAAAGTATCGCTGAAAATGCAAGAAATAAAAACGTCAAGTACAGCGAAATACCTACACTGCTGAAGAAGATCCTCCACCATGTACCCGAGTTTGAATCAGAAATGAAACTGATGCAGACCCTTGGTGAAGCCTTGCCTGACACACTTCGTGACCCACAAGTTGCTGTTTCTATCATGTTTGGTGCTGAAGGACTAGAGAGTTACTTCTACGATTCACTCACCACTCGCATTTACTACAAGGCTGGAGCTGAAACAGTTGTCAGGGCTGTTCGAGAAGCTGCCAAACACAAGAGAGTTGTCCGGGTATTGGAGCTGGGAGCTCGTTACGGAGGTTTGACTCGCTTCATTGCTAGCCAGCTTATGGACATGGGGACTGAACAGAGGCTGGAGTACTTCTTTACTGATGCAACGACAATGTTCTTCCAGCAGGCTCAAAGAAATCTCCAGGAGTTCCCATTCATCCAGTACAAACCACTGGATGCTGAAAGAGATGCACAAGATCAGGGGTTTGTTCCAGGCAGTTTCGATGTAGTAGTTTGTCTGGACACCCTACATGGAACAGTAGACGTACACCAAAGCATGGCTTACGTAAAAAGCCTGCTCAGTGCAAACGGGCTGATGTTTATAATTGAGGCAACTAAGTCATATCACTTGACTGAACTTATGTTTGGAACCCTGGAGGTCTGTTGCGTGTTTGATGATTTCCGTAAGGATCGTTGCTGGCTGACTCACCAAGGCTGGTTAGATGTCATGAAAAAGGTTGGGCTCAGAGATATCTCATCAGCATCTACTCCAAATGAGTTTTTCCACTCAGTTTTCGTTGGTAGGAAGCCCTCCACCTCAGAACATAAACCTTTGACGACAACTATCCAGCAAGACAAGCTACTCGTAGTTCGAGATGGCAACAACAAGTTCTTGACAGAGTTCCTTCCTTACTATCATGGTGAGGTTCAGATCATACAGTTCTCTGAGATAAAGTCACTTGATCGTTTGCTCAGTGAGCAAGACACAGCTATGGAGATGATGTATATCCATAGCGAAGAGGATTCTGAGCTTCATGCTCTCCTGAAACTCTTCCAGGGAGTGGAATCGTACCCAGCAGTTGCAAAGCGTGTGTGGGTTGTGACCAGAGGAGGGAATATGGATTCATTTCGTCCAAATGGATCCCTGGCTGTTGGCTTAACCAGGGCAGTCAGCAATCAGATTCCAGGCGTGCCAGTTTTCTCTGTAGATTTAGATCCCACAATATCTTTTAGCGAGTGTGTTCAAGAGATGTTGAAGCTGATGAAGGATCAAGATCTTGGGGAACAGGAGCTTGTAATCCGAAAGAATCAGAGGCTTGTTCCACGGGTTATACATGAGGAATTGCATAAGGGCAAGAACATAGTGTCCATGGAATGGCGAATGGAGCAGAATCTAGCAGGCAAGACTTATAAAGGGGCTTCTATCGATGATCTTGCTTTCCATGATGTCAGTGTTTCTGAAATACCATCTGGCCACGTTAAGATTAAAGTTAAGGCAGCTCCTCTCAACTTCAAAGATGTCATGATGGCACTTGGTCTTCTGGAGGGATTGGAGAGTGAAACAACTCCATCCTTTGGTCTCGAATGTGCTGGAGTTGTGGAAGAGGTCGCGACCGGGGTATGTGGTTTCAAAGCTGGTGACAAAGTCATTGCATTTGGAAAAAGCTGTTTTGGTTCCCATGCGATTTGTGACGCAAGGCTGACCGCCTTGAAACCTGAAAATCTTAGCCTTGTGGATAGTAGCAGTGTTGGGGTGGTTTTTGTGACGGCGTATCTTTGCTTGATCGAACGTGCCAACCTCAAGAAGGGTGAGACTGTCTTGATTCACTCAGCATGTGGGGGAGTAGGTCTAGCGGCAATTCAGATTGCTGAAATGACAGGCGCCAAGATCATCTGCACAGCTGGTACAGAAGAGAAGAGGAGGTATCTACAGAAGGAGCTTGGTATTGAGATGGTCAGTGATTCTCGATCACCTTGCTTTTATGATGATGTTATGAAGTGGACCAACGGCAGGGGAGTGGATGTGATTTTGAACTCTCTTTCTGGCAAACTCCTTCAAACAGGTACCACACTCCTGGCTTCGGGTGGAAGATTTTGTGAGATTGGAAAGAAGGATATCCTGCAGAATTCTAATCTCCCCATGGGCTTCTTCCTGAAAAACAGGGTCTTCCATTCCTGTCAACTAGATGTCTTGATGAAGGAGCAGCCAGATGTTGTTCAGAATATCATGCAGCAGGTTGTTGGACTATTTCGCAAGGAGAAGCTAAGGCCTATACCAGTCACAATAAAAGCCATTGATGAGTTCAAGGAAACATTCTGGATGATGTCAAAGGGTGCACACATTGGTAAGATCGTGTTTGAAGTACCGGAAGATTTCATGCCAACAGAACTCCAACCTGCCATTAATCAGTTTAAATCAAAGGCCACCTACATAATCACTGGTGGGTTTGGCGGCATTGGGCAAGCTCTCTCAAGATGGCTATGTCAAAATGGTGTTAAGCACATTGCCCTTGTGTCACGAGGAGGGGCAAAGACAGCAGCTGCGAGGAGAACAGTTAGGTACCTGAAGCACAACAATGTAAATCTTCACGAGTTTTCACTGGACATATCCAGCAAGCAGAGTGTTGCGTCAATGCTGGAAAATCTTCGAGATGACAAGAGAGTCCCTCCAATCAGAGGCATCTTCCATCTGGCAGGCGTCATTGAAGAGGAAAATTTGTCAGAGATAACATTTGACCAGCTGTCCCGCATTCTGGGTGCCAAAGCAAAGGGAGCCAGAATCCTCCATGAGCTGACTCAAGAGGACCAACTTGACATCTTCTTCATGCTGTCTTCGATTTCCACTACCTGGGGACATCAAGCACAACCGATCTACTGTGCCGCTAATGCCTACCTTGATGCCTTGGCTGAGAAGAGACACAACTGTGGGTTGCCTGCACTGTCAGTGCAACTGGCTCCAATCAGAGGTGCAGGTTACTTAGAAGACAAGGCAGAGACTGTCAAAGTTTTGGCCATGAAGGGGAAACATCAGCTGCATATTGATGAGTTTCTTGCAGTATTGGGCCAGCTTCTACCCAGGAAAGATCTCCCTTGCATCTGCCTTGCAAATCAGGTCAGTACACCAATCCCTAAATTGTTTGATTCAAAAACTTATTACACATAAAATTTATCACTGAAATTACAGTACATGTCATAATTCTACCCCAAAGGAATCCACAAAACTTGCAAAACTCTCACATTTTCAAATCCTTTGCTGAGACATCAAAAAGCTTTATAAAACAAGCAGAAAAGACATAATTGTGGGACGTATAGAAATCCAGGAATGTTGGTCACTTTATTAAATGTGAGAAACATGATTATATTTTCTCGCCTTCAGGACTGGGGAGCGACGCAGCAGTTCTGCTACAAGAACATGCTGAAATTCCACCACTTGGCGGCACACAACTCAAATTCATCCAGTGGAGAGGCTTGTTGCCTGGATGCTGCAGACTTGGAAGCCAGCGTCAAATCCAAGATGGCTGAACTTCTCTGCATGCCAGAGGAATCCATTGACGTCACTCAGCCCATGGTGAACTATGGCGTGGACTCTCTGGTTGCCTTGGAAATGGTGAACTGGGCCACCAATCAGCTAGGAGTAACCATCTCTCAACTGGACATTTTGGGTGGTATTTCTACGGCTGGTTTGCTGGAGATGGCAACAGAGCCCATCTAAATGGAACTGAAAGTCATGTGTACTGGTAAAAGAGGGCTAACTGTGTCCTTTCTAAAGGTATATTATTGTTGAGGTAAGACAAACACAATAAATTCTGAACAAGCATGAACTTACGAACTTTGAAACCAAAATTTACAAACTAAAATTTTGAAAATGAAGGATGTTTAGAATGTTTGAGATAAATGACAAAATCGATGTACACAAATTATACCGGAGCTTTTATTGAAAACAGTTTAAACAAAATAGAAATACCCTATGAATATATGTTTGGTCAAATATTACTTAAGTTGACGTATAAAAGCACAAATGCCTTATTCATATATAACATTAAAAGTTAAAATACAGAAGTGTCAAAAGTCAGGGAATTCATTTTTCCACAAGATTTTGTTTTCAATGGATAACCATGAACACGTAGTAAGAAATTTGTATTTTATGGTGTACCTACTATGCAGATAGAAAATATGTGAGCAGTGTCCCTGCTTTTGAAGGTCTTCATGTTTTTTGCTTTGTATTGTTTATTTAAAGAGTAGATTAGATATAATGTTCTTTGAAGCATTAACAAATACCAATAAAGTATTCAGGAATAAATAATTCAAGTTTATTTTCCAAACATGAAAAACAGCCGCGCTATTTTAAATTTAGCTTGAATCAGAAAATTGTTATATGTATCATACTGTGCAGAAAGTGTGCATTTTCTGTATTGGGAAATTTAAGCTTTTATTCTAGTCAGAGTTAACTGCCGGCGCTAAAGTAAGGAAGTTTCTACAACTTATGAAGTTACACAAAGGAAGCACAGTTCCCAGCAACTGAACGTAATTTATCACTGAATTCTGTAGCTAAAGTTGAGTACTTTGCCAGCGAGTTGAATCACTCACGCATTGCAAATTCTATCAGGTTGTCACTCAGAATTGAGACTCGAGCCATTCAACTCGCTTTCATGATTCAAGTGATAGCCTGGTGTAGAAATACTTCAAGGGCATTTCAAATGCCATTTGCCTTAAAGAAATACCGGAAAAATCTAAATTTTCAAATGAACATCTCAGATCAATTTTCATTTTAATGAAAAATACATATCATGAATATTGCGATACTGAAGATAAAACTTTGTTTCCATAATTTCAGTTGATATGGACACTTTTATGAGTAAATGGCTCAAAGTGGGAGGGTTTAGTAAGAAAAAAGATTTAAAAATATTTCAAACCTATCAGTCAAATTTTATAGATTTTGCAGATTTTTTGTGTATTCAGTTAGATATGGTTCTACGTGTTAGGGTTTTTTGTAAAATGTATAATGTAAAAAGTTTTATTATTTCAGTACTGGAAATGTTAAAAATGATGAAGGTCTTTTCTATGAAAAGGAAGAAACGTTTGTGGTTTTGCCCCACCCCATTAGGATTTTGACTTCTACAAGTCTTTAGAAATATGTTTCAGTCAACATGTTTCACAATATCCGTTATTATGCTTCAAGGAAGTTAGGTTTTTATTTTACACAGAATTTACCGCTTCAGGTGTTACATTTGAAAAAGGTGAAGTTTGTTTATGAAAACACAAAAAGGGAATTAATGTTCTAAGCAAGATTTAATAATGTGGAACTGTGATTAAAGTCTTTGAAAAATGTTTGCTATCAGGCTAATGCCACTTTAACTGGATGTACGCCTAGCTCATCACTGAATTTTGTGACTCAAGTTGAATATATGCTCATAGTGACAAGTTGAGTCATTCACCCGCTGCAAGTGGAACTGATTATGGTAGCTACTTTAAATTGTGACTCAAGTTGAATAATACATGTATACTCACAGCAACAAGTTGAGTCATTTATCCACTGCAAATGGAATTGAGTATGGTAGTATACCCCGACATGGGGTATTTCAAACATCATTTGCAAAAGACACACAAGAAAAACCAACATTTTTAAGAAAACTTTGTCGATCATTTACATTTTAACCCTAACCCTCCTCAATCCTCCAACAGGTGAAGGATTGAGGAGGGTTAGGGTTAAATAAATGAAATGTATATCATTTTGTAATATTCATTTCCATTTTAAATAATATATATCACTACGTAATATTCATTTTCATTTTAAATAATATATATCATTACGTTATATTCATTTTCATTTTAAATAAATAAAATATATATTCATTCATTTATAGTATCATGTAATACTGCACTGCAGTACTGAGTCTGAAATCTGTTTCTATAGTTTGTTTCATATGGATGCCTTTATGAATGAATCAGTCACAGTGAATCAGAACAGTTCAAAAATAAATAGTCCAGTGGAAGGTAGGCACATTTTCCACAGGTCTAGTTTTAAATCACAAAACTTAAACCTTTTTTTTTCAATTCTTGTGTCAAATAATAAAAAAATTGTGGCCTTCTCTAAGGAAAAGAAGAAATTATGTTAAATGGTCCCCGTTCAGGGTTTTGAATTTATAGTTTTTTGAAATATAAATCAGTCATCTGGAATTAGTTCTGTTCCCATGAATCTTTCCGACATTTACATCAGGTAAAGTCTATCACCTGCTTTAATCTTTCAAACAATAGACTGACTGCATGCCAATGAGTCGGTCGCACGGCTTCAGTGGGTATCAAACATCAACAGACACGGCATCCTACCACAAAAACGTGTATCATAAGTGTCATTTACCAATTATAAAGCTGAGAGTTAGTAAAGTACTCATACTACAGATGTGCTCAGTACTACACTTTGCTATGGGAGGACGCTATGTTTGTTGATGTTTGATACCCATTGTAGTGGGCACAATCACTCTATTCATGTTGTGTTACTCTGATGCTGAAGTAGATTATAACGTTAATTTGAACAAAGACACAGGACTTAACTTCAAGTATCTCTGAAAGACAAAAAGTGATTTAAAAAATAAAATGAAGGTACCTGTAACTTACATGTATGTTAGGTTGCCCTGGGGACTGTTTTGGTCTTATTCACAACCAACTCCATTGCCAAAGGGGGGGGTGTGACAAAGACCAGTCCCCCCCCCCGCAAGCAGACCCCTCCCCCAGCATATCCATAAGCATCAAAATTACCTTTTGTTCTTGTGATGTTGCCCCCATATTAGTACTGCCCCCCCTTACACCTGAAGCTGGCCGCAGGGCTGCAAAGCAGCATTGAGAACGAGGACAGGAGCGACAACTGACCGAGGCGGATCACAGCTAGGTTTGACAGCCAGTAATAACTAGGCCCAAAAAATGCCTGTGCGCACCAATTATGATTTGTGTGCTGTCAAATGCTCTGCTAATGCCCAAGTTTCACAGCGAATGGACTGGTTAGTTTGTAAAGAAGGATGGAAGCTACCTATCCTCGAAAATATCTTCGAAAGACATTGGCTAAGCCACTTCAAATTGAAAGAAAAATGAAAGAAGATGGAATGGGCTCTAATTTGATTTGGTTCTTCAACCCCTGAGAACCTTCTATTTATCCCTGCTTTTTAGAAGTGGGGGGATTTATCACTGTTGTTTATGGTAGTTTATTTATCAGTGTGCAACCTCAGAAGGAGCGGAGCAACACTAAATAACAAGGCAGAATATGCTTAGAATGTGGAGTGGCAGTAGATCAAGGTGGAGCACCAGGCCAGCTGCCTGCAAACACCTCCAAAGTCCACCCCACCTGTGGCAAGAAGGTGGGCCCTCATTGGCAAAAAGCAATGCATTCAATTTATCTACTGTTCTTGTGATCTGTGATCTGCAATCTAGCTGGTTCTGTAGCCACTCTTTTGCCTGATGCTGGAAATTTGTATGGGCTGTTTACAACTACGTTAACGCTTACACTATTTTGAAATATTTTATTTTTAAGTTGTCCAGGTATTCCCTTAAAATGTTAAAACAGCAATCAGAAAGTGACAACACGTCCCAAAAAGTGACATTTAGCTGAGAAAATTCCAAAGTATTTACTTCGAAAACACTGGGGGTTTTTCAGACAAGTCTCATAGGTTTGTGCACAGGGGCATCAAGTGTTGTCTGCATACATGAAACTCTTTCCAGCAGTTGTATACAATATGTCTCTGAGAAGTCAAGAATATTTCTAAGTATTTCCTAGCAAAATTGGATTTTTTTCAATCCTATATTCATGTCTTCTTAGCACCAAATAAGCTGAGAATCCAACTGTCACAGGTAGACAGGTGCCTAAGCCTAGGCCTCCTTTGAACAAATCTGAGATACAGAGAAAAATTTAACTAACGCTCGACTAGCTGGTTCACTGGTTGGTGCACATGAAGTTTGAAGCCCAATGATAGAGGAACTATGGTCATGCATGGAGATGATTCAAATGCGCCATGAGCCACAGTTTCAATGTATGTTGAAAGTTGTACAAGCGCGTGCACCTGACTATGACTTAGTGGGCCTCGGCCCCCCCGCACCCGTTTCCTCGCTCTATGCTCATGTAGGGACATGCATTTGGGAACTCATTCTTGTAAACAGGAAATTGTGATTATAATTTGTCTTTTTCTGCACGCTCTAGCTCCTCTATTTAATTTCCAATTTCAACATTTTTGAAATTTCAAGCAAAGCCAGCATTTAATTCATTGAAATATGACAGAAATGAGAACAAACATTTTATGGAAATGTGAATTTTAACCTTTTCAGTCAAAATCCACACTCATTTTTTTGTACAAAAAATCACAGTTTGCTCTGCATTACACATGTACAAAAAATGTCCCAAAACATCTCAAAATATTCCTGCTCCAAATCAGTTGCTCTTTGCTTTGCAGAGTCCGAGGGAATCCAAACTTATATCAAAATGTTTTATGACATCACTTCAAAAAGAAAACAGGAAAAAACATGTAGTTAAAAAATTTCCAAGTCTCCCTATAAGTAGGCCCTACCTACCACCGGAAACCCCTCAAATATCAGTTCCATTTCTTCAGTGGTTTCTATGAAAGCCTATAAGCTATCTGCTTTACTGTGTTCTCAACGATATAAATCGTACTAGTAAATTTCAGTCCATACCTTGCTTCATATTCATGTTGTTCCGTCATCCGTTGGCGAACACGTTGTGCATATCTGCAGCATGCACAGCTAGGCCTTATCAAAGTACTTATGATCTCCAGCTCCTCAGATGTACCCTCCAAATCCTCTCAGTATTGAGCCATTTCAACAACAGGTGGAGAAGAAGTTGAGATCACACAGCAAGCGTGTATTTCGGGATCACGCGCGTACTTGACCATGGGAACAGAGTCATGAGTACTGCAACCAAAGTAGTCTTGCCTAATTAGACTGGTTTCACTGTTTTGGCCGGTGTACCGTGCCGGCAACATGCGCTGGCGCCCTATATTAAATATTAACAAGAGACGACCTGCCAAGAAACCAGTCTTGTAGAATCTGGCGGGCTTACCCGGCCCGAAAAATTCCTTACGCGCTCAAATTACCATGAATAATTGCTCATGCGCACTGCCGAAAACCGCTGTCTGCATGGGTGCGGATTTCGGAGCCGGCATGGCAGGCGTGCAGCGCGTACGTGCATTATTATTCATGAACTTGGGGGTATGCTCGGAATTTTTCGGGCAAGCATCCCAGGGTCCAGTCCACTAATTCAAGCCCCATTGAAAACAGTGTAATATCAGCACCGTTCAGGGCCCAATAGCATGCACGCCAACATCTCTGAGATTTCTGAAGCACAAATGAAATTCTTGTCTGGTCACTTATTTTTCAATTTCTTTTCAATTTTTTGTGGGTTAACCAATTACATTTTTAATTATTCCAAGAAAACAAAATCACCCCCCAAAAATGATTTTTCCGAAGTCTGATTCCGGACATTTTTCAAGTGGCAACCCTCAACTTTCTCGGGCACCTAGGACCATTTTTCAACCGTTGTTTTTAGTCCTTCTGCTCTCATATGAAAGCTCAAAGACCCAGGGAGTTGATCCTGGCAACGATTTACACAATCTCACCATTTTGGGGGCCAAACAATCTCCTTTTTCCAAAGATACAGCGGGGGCACTTTTAATGCTAATGAGCTGGTCAAAAATTCTCACTTGAATTAGTGGTCTGCACCCCCCAGATTCGAAGACTGCCATCCCGGCGGGTCGTCTCTTGGGAATATAGCGCCCTCTACTGGTAGTGCTATTCGGCTGTCGAGTGTTAGTGCATGCCGCCGCGCCGCGCACAAGATGCACCGACCAAATCAGTAAAACGAAGTCTTGGGGCAAAGACTAATGTTGTAGTTGCCTGTCGAGACCACTTACGACCTTCACAAGAGCGACGCAAGACCTCCAGTCACAAGCTATTGAAATGAACTGCAACAAAAGCATTTTTTCGTCATTGTTCACACTGTATGACTGGTCTTGTGCTTGGCCTCTTGTCTTGTGTGTGATCTTGTGATGGTCTCGACTACAACACTAATTACAACCACTTGTAATTCTTAACAAGCACATGAACTAACATTTTGGAACTTTCTGAACAAGCATAAACTAACGAACTTTGAAACAAAAATTCACAAACTAAAAATTGCAAATGATTCATATGGTTTGATGGCAAAATTGACGTACACAACTTGAGTAAATATACAGTAGACTTGAATCAAGTCAAACTTACGTGGCTCTTCCCAGTCAACCACCCCTTCAGTCTGTACGCACTCCGGTCGTGTAACTCCGCCCTGCAGCTCGCATAACCCTTATAAGGCGCCCTTGTTTGATAGCCTATATTGTACAACGAGTGTCATGTACGTCACCAGTCAGTAAGTCCGACTTGACAGGTAAGCCAATCGGACCCCCCCGTCGATGATGATCTGGCATAATGTATAATGTAGACTCGTTCAATATCCGGTTCGTAAGCGTGACGTCACTT